TTCAAAAAAAATCCTAAATGATCACTATCTGCAATCTTAACATGCTGTGTATAGAGCAGAAATTGCATGAAAGGTAAGTTAATCCAGTCTCTCTGGTTGCCAGATGCTCTTCTCTGAAGTGCAGCTCTAAACAGCCTATAGGCACTGCGGTTTGTAGAGAGCTCTCCACAGACTGAGACCTGGCAATTTCTTTGTTTAGCAAATTTCTTTTTTTTTTTTTTCTTTTCCCCCCAGTTAAATCTGTTCAAAGGCTCCCACCACAGTCAAACTTAGAGTCTGCAGACTCTAAGTCTGGGAGCCTCTGAGGCTCTCTAAGTGGGAGCCTCTGAGGCTCTTCTGTGCCCCAGCCCTTCCTGGACCAGAAGAGTTCTTACTTGTAATGACATTTCTATGAGCATCAGCAGCTTCTTGATACCAATCCAGACGGATCTCCCTTTGACATTCTGGGCAATGGTGCTGCGTTCCTTGTCCTTGAAGTTACCCAGGAGCTGCAGGAGACAGGGAAAAGAAAAACATCAAGGGACTGCCCATAGGAGAAATGTTACCTAACCCAGGGCCAAGAAAATGAGAAGTTCATTTTCTAGCTTGGAAAGATAACTCTTTATCGCAAGATACCCAAACAAGGCAAAATACTTACAAGACTCTTTAACTGCATAATGTTTATTTTCATAGCATCTCCAACCAGTTAATTGCTCATTCAATCTTATGACCTATTCTAGGTTTTCTCCAGATCGAAGTCCAAAAGGAACATGGCGGCTTATGCTACAATTCCTTTTCAAACCTGTTGCAAAAGTTGCAAAATCTTTCAGGCTTTTGTGATTTTTATCCTTGTGACAACACTACCAGGTTGCACAGAAGTTCTGCCTGTTAAATTTATCTTAAAATAATAGGTGCTACAAATTCCACCATGGCACAGCTTAAGAAGCCTTTGGAGTATCCATTTATAAAGAACCTATAATCTCTCCAGCACCAAGCACTTCCATTTGATGTTGTTCCAGCTCATGAGAGCTCAGCACCCTCCGGGCACATCTCAGTTAAGTGCCCCAATTATATAACTTCACCCACTTCCATGCCCTGTGAACTTTTCAATCCACTCTGTGAACTTTTTGCCTAGATGTATTGCTCTTATTTTTCCTTAATTCATCACATGACAAAGTAATGCAGGAAAGCCTCAAAATTGCTGTTAGGTCAAAGTTAAATGAGACAGTGTTGCAAGCTGCAGCCCTACCTCAAAATCATTCCTTTTCAGCAATTTTTGAGCTGTTTTGTCATTCATTAATTTTCCTCACCTCCAACGCCTCCATCAGCTGCTCTCCTGTTGCAATATTGGGCACATGAATAGTCGTGCTGAAGGCGTTGAGCATTTCCATTTCCTGCAGGACATCTTTGCGACTGGTGGTTCCAATGATAAGAAGCTTGCGGCCCTGCCCACACAACGGGAGACGTGTCAAGAAAGGAAAAACAGAATGAGACGAACCAGACTTGGGAAGCTCCAGCTAACTAGGGAGAAAACGACCATTAAAAAATAAAATTAAGTGAAATCAATAAGATTACACATCCATATTTGAGGCTGTAATCCTATAAGACTATAAGACTAGAACCAGACTGCAGAAGTCAGAGTAATAGCATCAAAGGGACCAAAAATTATGGTACACGAGAGCCTCACCTGTACTCACTGCTTTCCTAATTTTTCTACGAAATTCACTATTACAAATTGAAGCGTTATTAGATTTAAAAGCATAAACCAACCCCCATTCCAAAAACTACATTACAGGGGACTTCTCAGAGTAACACCCTCCTTTTAGGAAAAGGCTGCCTGATGCATGTGGGAGGATCAGCCCCTTTTACAACCCAGACCGTGCGAAGCCCTCGGGGGTTTAGGAGGTCTCTGGCTGACCCAGTGTCCTCCTTATTTGCTGTACAGGAGTTTCGCTGATGCTCAAAGAATCAAATTCTAGATTTAGCCTTTGCAACACAGAATCTCAAATCATCACCAGAAAACACAAAACCCCTCCCTATTGGGCATGCAGAATTCATTTCATGAATGCTTTGCATTCCTCTAATGAAGAATTAAAACATAATACACCTCTGATAAAGATGCATCTTCACAACCCCACAACGTGGTCTTTCCCTTGGTTGTTGTTGTTTCCCTAACTTTATACCGGAGCAGACTGCATTCCTGCTCTGAGTGAAGGACGATGAGAAAGCACCAGACACGGGGACTTGGCTTCGGGTTTGTTTTTAGCCTAAGAGCACAAGGAAGCCCCGAGTGGCAAGTTGAAACCCGCGTGCCCCAGGTCAGCAGCCTCCCGCGGCGGCACTGCCAGGGCAACCTGCGCCAGCACTCGGGGCATTAACCACTGCCTGCCCCCCAGAAGGCCCCACGCTGCGGAGATCGGCCCTCCTTGACAGGGCTTCCTGAGAAAGGGAGCGGGAAATTTAACGGGAAAAAAACAAACAAGGGCAAGAAAGTTCCACCAGGTGCTCAGGCTCAGCTAAAGCACGAACAGACTGAAAAAATATAAATTATGCTCAACAACGGATAGACTTTTTGCCCGCCCAAAGGCAAAACTTCAGTTGTCTTCACCTCTGGTGTTGGTGAAAACAGACTTAAAACACAGGCTTGGAAGTCCTGGGAAATGACTCCTCCAAAGGCACTAAAGCCTCAGCTGCCACGAGCCACCGAAGTGCGGTGCAGGTGCTCCAGAGAGCCACTGAGATTCGCCCTCAAGCTGCCACCCAAGGACAGGGGCAGAAGGTGCCTTCGACTTGCTAAGACACCTCGGGGATAGCAGCATGCAGGATGCAGTTGCTCCTGATGATCTTGAAGGTCTTTTCTAGCCACAATGATTCTATAGCAGAACGGAGGCCTGTTTAAGGTCCTCCATAAGAAGAAAACAGAGATGGAGACGATCAGCAGACCTGATGGAGGCAGTATCATCTTCATCCTCACTTACAGTGCTTTTTGGCTGTCCTTTATTTCCCCAAAACACAATCCTCAGTGTGCTTTTGCTCAATTTACCGACACTACCCCATTATATCCGACACCATATATGCTCTAACAACTCAGTTAGAATTACGATCCCCTAAGGAGAAAACAGGTTTTCTTGTTATAGGGATAAGGAGACTGAGGGAAGTCAAAGACAGAAGCAAGACCTCCAAGTCCCACACCTGGTCCCTGTCCCACAAGCACTAGTCTGAGTAACCTTCTACCACACGAAGGCAGTTGTCTCCTCCCAAAGAAGCTGCCTCCGCTCTGGACTCCCACAACAAACTATGTTCTGCACAACTAGACTAGTTCTAGGCAACCAAACTGCTGACAGCCACATTTGGCCAGATGAACCCAAAACTTGCTGTAAATGAGGCCAGCAGACAATTACTGAACCCACAAAGATGACTCCCAAATGAGTTATTGCCATCTAAGCGAGCCACCAGAATTGGTCATTGTGGCAAGTCCTCTGAAAACAGCAGCTCGGTGCTGAGCATCATGCAAAACCAGCAGTTTGGACATTTTTATATTGGGGAAAAGAGTGAAAGAGAAGTAGTTATTCTGCCGCACGAATGCAGGGTCCTCTCTTGTTAAAAATACTGTGCAATTCTAGCAATTGCAAGTGCAGTTTTGAATACAAGATTCATTTAGAGAAATCACAGGAGAGCAACAGGGACAGTGAGAAGTATGGACTGATTTCCCCAAATATACTCTTGCTAAGTGGGCTGGGAGGTATCAGAGAAGTCTTTAAATTGTCTATAATCTATCAGGTCTACAAATTGTTTAGTGTAGGAGCAGGTTGAAAATGCTGTTTCTCAGAATACAAACCACAAAGGAAGACATGAAGTTGCCAAGCACCAGGTTTAAACCAAAGCAAAGGGCGCTCGCTTTCACACAAACCTGAGCTCAACTCGCCCAGCACAACGCCAAGAACAACAAAATCCCATCAAGGTTCAAAGTTAACAGGACAAGCTAGCAGAGGGCAGGTCCATCAGTAGCTTTCAGATGTGATGCTTTGGATCCATGCCCAAGATGCCAAACAACTGGTGACTCAAAGCCAGAAAACTCATCAGAGCAGATGGTTACATTGCAAAACATTGCTTAAATATTTTATGTGCTGCACCCAAAATTCATGAATTCTTCCCTATTTTCTTCACAAGAAACTATGCCCTTCAGCCCACTTTAAACTTCATCCACTGTAAAATCAGTTACAGTAAATTAAGTATAATCTCGGCTGTATCAATTACTAAAAGAAAATGAAAATATATTAGGAGTCTTTTGTCTTTTAGCAGTTTCAGGCAACTTACTTGGTAAAAAACAGGAAAACCTACAAATCAGAAATGTTCTGCAGTACCACAAAGGCTTGAAAACCCATCAAGCCAAGGTGACAAACCCGAGCCCATTCAACTACTCTACAGCATCACACGGACACAGATGGACTCACTCTCCCCACCAGATACTCTGCTGAAGTGCCCCCATCGCAGAAACCTTCATTTTTCACTCCTACTTTATACAGCAGCCACTGCAAGGGCAATGTGCTCTGCATGTTCAACTTGTAGAAGATACAAGACTCCAGCTGAATGTCCAAAAATCACCATTACCAATGAGTCATGTAATATGGAACTTGCACAGCTTTGAGTGACGTAGTTTCGGACTCACCATGGCAGTCTCAGCACTGGTTCTGCCATCAACAAGGATTAGGCGCAGGCATGCCACTTAAATCTGGATTGATCCTGCCCATTTTGAGATGATTAAAGGAGCCCAAGCTCCTCCTATGCTCATGGGGAGATACCCAGGTGGGTAATTTGCTCCGTTGTCTCTAGAGGTGGGATAACCCTTGTTTCCTCCCCTGCCAGCTGCATGGATTTTATCTGAATCATTGATATAAACACGCCAAGATTCAAAGATCAAAAGAAGAAGGTGCCTTTACTACTTTTCAAGCATTTCTAGATTGATTCAAACACAATACTCACCTCCCAATGGGCACCATATTATTGCATTGAGTGCCCAAAGCTCACACCATATGGAACATATAAGAATTACACAGGCTCTGCGACATGCAAGTGGAGTCTCAACACGCAAACGGAGCCCCAGATTGCCTGAATTCACAAAAACTGAGCAGCCCCAGGCAAGGGAAGCTCCAAGCATGATGGAGGTGCCTCTGCTGGCTGCCTAGTGGCTATTCACTCAGCTCTGGTCCCTTACGAATTTTTAAGCAGACATTGGGGGCAACAACAATTCTGTGTTGTTTGGTGGGAGATTTGTGTAATTCTTGTGTAATGGAAGAAAAGGCAGTTTGCCAGTGTTACAGGTGTAAGCCTAAGGTCTCTGTTGACTGGAGTCGCTCCCGTTTCACACCAAGTGAAGTGGAATCAGGAATGACTGTGGGATTATGGCAAACAAGGAGATTATTCCCCCCTCTCCCCTCCCCGTCGACTTTCACAAAATCTGCAAATGCCTCCAGCGTCCCGGGGAGCAGAGGGGCCGGGGGCCTCTGGGAGCATCGGGAGGGCATCCCCGCAAGCGCTGCGGAGCATCGCGCTAAGCCAGACACCTCGTAACACTGCACAGATTGTGCGTCCAGCTTAGCGCGGGGATGCTGCCATGGGCTTTCACCCTTTGAGCCGATTGTTAGCTTTTCACGGGAAGCAGCAGGGAAGCACATGTGAAACCTCTGCGGGGCTGGTGAGCGTCCCCATGCCTTGTGTGACTCTGCATGTAGATGAAGCAGCTCCGGCTTTGGGAGCTGCTGCTGCTTAGTTCTCAGAGAAGTCCTTTTCTCCCGCTCGGCTCCCCGCTGCGACAGCCCTTTTCACTCTTTCTATTCCCTCCCTCCCCAGTTTCTTCTCCTGCACAACACAGGGAAACTTGATTGAAATAAAGACCCTAAGAGAACATGGTTTATTTTCTTCTCTTCAAGCCATTTTAGAAAAGCTTTTTTAACTGGTTTAAAAAAATGCTAAACAAAACGCAATGTTTTTCAGTCTTCTTGAACTAGTAATAGATACCACTATTCAAGCCTTGCTCCGAGGAACTAGGAATCGGGAAGCTGTGACTGGGAATTTAAAGCAAATTCAGGGCTGTGCCTTGTTTCTTTAAAGTCTTCCGTGTTTACTCCCCAGACTCCTACAAATGTATAAACAAGGCAGAAAGCCCAGAAAACCCAGAGCTTGGAGCACTCGCGCTTCCCACAGCAAATTAAAGCAGCACAGCCGCGATAGGGACACGGGGCGGCTGGAAGGCGTTTTAACGAGCCCATTGAGCGGGGACACAAGCTCGATGCATAATTAATAACCTGGTATCCCCACGCGCTCCTCCTGCAGGGCTGCCCCGCAGGAGCCGGGGGAGGCGGCTGCACACGCAGGGCCCTCCGGAATTCCTACCTCTAAACCTTCCAAATTACCCGCGCGGGTTACACTTAGGCTCCTGCTAGTCTAAATATACTAACTAATAGCGATAGAAAACAGATATTGTCTCCTCAGCGGCTTGACAACAGGTTTTCTCAGCACTGGGACATGGGTGGTGCGAGTTAGGACTTCCCAGTTTTACAAGGAACAAACGTCAACCATTACCTCGGTCTGGAGGAGATTTCATGTCCCTCTGACCTAGGCAGCAGGTAGGTAGCACTGATGCTGCGCACGGACACTATAGCCTGTATTTGCACCTCAGTTTACAAGCAGGACTGAAATCGATCATCATTAAAAAAAAAAAATCCCCAAGGAAACTAGCAATCTCACCGGAACATGGAAGAGGAACAATTAACCAGCAACTGCATCTTCCTCATGGGTTTGTAACTTTAGCTTAAAACTCTAGGAGTCTTCAAGTCAAATTCAATCTCTTTCAGGGTAAAGGTTCACAGCAGAAAAGCCTGGGCTTTTCTTTGTTTTTTAACGAATCTTCTACCTATATACATTTTTGTTTCTAATGAAAAAAATCCCCATACGTCATGCTTGCCACAGGAGCGGATAAGAAACAAATCTGCCAGCCAGTCTGTAAGAACCCCACCTCCCAGATGTCCCAGCCAGGTCAGACCAAAGGGTGCAGCTAACCCAGCGTCCTAATTTCTACTGCAGCTGATAGTGGACACCTAGCAAAAAAAAATTATCATCAATCAAACAGTGACACTTCCCAAGAAAGCTCTCTCCCAACCCTCCAACAATTTATAGCTTAAGTCACCATAATATTGGCTGTCAACCCAAAGTCTTCCAGCCTCAAGGGCATTTCAAACATTGCAAAGTATGAATCTCTAGAAACATGCATAAACTTGGCAAATATCTGAGTGCTTCAAGTTCTGCATCCTGCTTTCACAGAGACACGGGTGCCAACAAAAGTGCAACATAATCTTGAAGGACGAAGTGAAAAAATGAACAACTTCTGATATGAAGTTCTTTGGACTATTGAAGTAAATCATTGTTTTCCTTTCCTGTTCTATGGGTGCAATCATCTGCTCATACTGTAGAAATACCCAGCGCTAAATGAATGATTACATGAGATCACAACCATCAAAAATGGTCATGCGGATACTGCCAACCTCCCTGTTCTTATCTGATAGCAGATGGGCACAAGGGGAACTTCATGGCCTGGAACATTACACATCAGTTCAAATTTCTAGAATTGAAAGATCTTTCCACCAAACTCTCTAACAAGAACAATTCCCATGCATATGTTACTCCATTTTTCAAGAGACTTGAAGTTACAAAGAACTGAGTTCATCCGAATGGTGGTTCTCTGCTTCTTCCTGACACCAGCCTTCAAGGTTTTCCAGTTGGTTTGGTTTTTACTCATGCAGAAACTTCCAAACACATGAGATTTCCAATGAATTACATGAAAAATTGCACAAGGGTCCTTCCTGTTCATCTCATTGAGAATGAGCTCCAGCAGCAGCCCACGATTAATCTGCCTTAGTCAGAGGCAATAGCTCTAACACCATTATCATCAACCAAAAAGCCCTCCGATATCACAATTATTTTAGGAATACAGCATCTTACTCCTCAACTATCATCTTACCTGAGGGGGGGCCTTCTTTAGCAGTACCAGAAGGGCTTGTAACACCAGATTAGAGAACCGTGGTCCAATTGGGACATAATCTGAAATGAAAAAAATGTATTTTCATGTTCTTTAAACTGACAAATCTTTAAGCCACAACTGCATAAGAAAGCAGCTCGAGGTTTCTGTGACAAATGCTTCCATATTACTTCTGGTTGGCAATACTACTGTGTGGCCAACACAGCTCTCATCATCTTGACTCACCTAAAAGCCTCTCAATGTCATCCACTACGACACAGCTGAGCTGCGATTTGTATGCATCATCAAAGATCTAGAAAAGAGCAACACGATTCATTGTTAAATCTCAGAAATAAAACCACACTAGCCATGATAAAGACTTGTTGACTCATTTTTAACTAAACTCAGAAGTAGTGAGAAGAATAAACTGGGAAGGAAATAGTCAGCACCATGCGAGTAGACTCCACCTTCATTTAATAAAACATCTCAATAAATTCAGAGCTCAGTTTGCTTCTTTACACAACACACTACAAAAACGTCAGCTGCCTTTGTGCTTAATTGCAAGGAACGGCCAAAACGGAGCAACAGCCCTCAGTTTTCTGGAGCTAGGGCTATAACACAGACACAACAAACCCACAATTGCAATGCAGTTACAAAGATCTATACCCAAGTTGGTTATTCCTTGTAACACTGGACCAGGGGGAAAATAGCCTTACACAGGTATTGATCGAGCCTCCATATCATCCTTTACGAAGCAGCAAGGCAGAGCCCTGCAAACCTCTGGGTTTGGAGAGTGGCACTAAGACTGCACTGGTATTGCAGGCCCACCTCCAGCATACCCTGAATTCAAGCAAGTCCAAAAGGCTCTTTTATGAATCCAAATGACAAATTGGGCTTCCAGCTATGAGCACATGGCTCTTCTTGGAAGCTATGCAGTCTTGCAGTGAATTACCCCTTTGTTTTTAGGGTAACATATTTTGTTTACACGCCTAATTCAGTGTAATTCAGCTATAAAGAGACTGTAAGTGTTGGCTTGCTTCTGGAAATGACACTCAAGATCTCCTTTCAGCAGACTACTTGAGATGATTGAATAAGTTTTAAGAACTCATTTTTTTAAATGCCTTTTCTTTCTTTCTTTCTTTCTTATATCTTCTGTTTAACTAACCGTTACCACCTCAAAACTCATTCTAGTTTCATTCAGGCAAGATCTGTTCTTGTCAAGTAAAAACCTAAGTCCTTTCAGCCTTCATTTTTGGAGACAGAGCCCCAGACTTGCTAACTGCAGATCAGGTGTTTTGTTCCACTGGCAGGACCAATTATACCTCTAATCCTACTGGGCAGGGCCTGGAAATGTTCTTTTCCAGAGCTCATTTCTGTGTGCACACATCACATTTCCTTAAGAAATAGAGCACCATGGGATAAGACTCACACACAGAATCAGTGCTATGACAATATTCACTCAACTTTATAAAGAAATTGATATATATGAACTTAGGACCTACGGACAGCAGAAAGCACAGCCACAGAGGAAATACACTTTTCAGTCTATGGAGCATGGAACTGGACTGTAATCAACCAAAACAGTAGGATGCTTCAGTACCTTTTTCATAGCTTGGCACTTGGCTGTTTCAGAAAATCCAATCATCTTATCAGGAGAACAGATTTTGATAAAGGGAAAGTTGGATTCTTCTGCTATCTTTGCTGCTAGGGCAGTCTTCCCACTGTGGGGGGGACCTGGAGCAAAGGACAAGCACAATGAATAAGCAAGTGAGAAAGCAGCTCTGCTAAGGCTCAGTGTACAGGATGCTTAAAACACACTTATAATCCCATTCACAGGGACCTGCACTTTGAAATGACTTTTTCTCCTGCTTGTAGAGGACGTGAATTAACTCGTAGTTCATTGCAGCCCTCCAGATGAAGGAAATGAATACGCCCATATTTGAGGGTGTGCACACTAATTTGCCAGGAAACCATTTAGATTATTAATTGGTGCATTCACTCCTCTGTTGTTTAGATGTCCACCAAATCTCAGGCTAATTTCCCTCAGGAATACTGACAGGGACCAATTCTATTTTTCCTCCCATACACTACTCCTGCATGCAGTCAGAGGATATAACAGATCACCACTTGGGGTAACTGATACGAACAGTTGGTAGAAGTGAGTTGTTGTTTAAAATGCATTGCCTTTCTAAATTTACCTTCTAGAAGAACGCTAACCAGTGGAGTACGGTCACTGTTCTTGGTTTGTTGAACAAGCAGCTCCCCATCATCCAATACTCGTGTCACAGGATCACCCCACTTAATAATCCCATTCATGATGTAACTTGCATAGTCTTCCTGGTTGGTTCCAAATGCCTGTGTTTTAAGAGAGGAGACATGCACTGACTCAGGAATTTTCCATCACATCAAAACAAGAAGGTGCTGGCTCGTGTGGCACCGTGTGGCCCGACTCTGCCACAGGATTTATATAGTTCCTACTCACTGGTTTGATATCATTCTCCAAGGATGCAAAGAAGTCTCCTCTGGTCACACGCAAGCTTTCGGCCTTCTCCATATCCACTTCCACTTTGTTGCTGGCCTAGAAAAGGCAAGCAAACATGGTGAAGATCAGCACCACAGCACAAGATCCCTTACCAACTTCCACCCACGGATCCAGCTCCGTCCTTGGTCTGCATGGATACAAAAGAATGGTTCCTAAGCAGACCCTTGTTACGACACCTGCGTGGGTACCACTGCAGCAGCATCTTCAGAGAACCTTGCACTGGCCCCCAGAAAGTCAGTAGTCTCACTCAAAGTCAAGTTCAAGAGGGTGTCCGTGACTCGACTTCTCGGAGCAGCCAGCCCAGCTGAGAGCGGGATGGAGGCTCTGCACTACCCTGTTGATGCTGCTCTACCCTGACTTGCCTAAATAAGGCAGAAACTGGAGCCCAGTACAGGATTCATCTCACTCTCCTAAGTTTGGATTTCTAAAATTTACTGGAGTTACACAGGTTTCCACTAGAGTCAATGGAGAATGATAAACTGGAGAAACACTCTTTATTATGTACTCTGGCGCTGCATATGACTTTTCACAGAAACATAAATTAAAGTTTCTTTCAGTCCAGCTTCAAATTTCCCTGCTCCACCTTTGGCAACTGAGCCAAAAATAAGGGCTATTCACACAGCCCTATCTCAGGAGATCTGAGATTGCTATTCATGCCCTACTGCTTCCTACAAGAACCATCTTTCAGGGAATTGGCAAATATTAGATTTCTTTCTGCTTAGCCTTTATTTGCTTCAGATTGGCCATGTTCATGAGTCTTCCCAAAGTGGCTCTATCAGTATTGCTTGGAATAAATAAGCAGCAGTCGGCTCAGCTCCAATTGCTCTCGTCTACAAACGAGGCACGTCACCTTCTTCCCTTCTGCCACGGCCAAACCAGCCAGCAATATCTAAAAGCTAATGACTGGGAGCAAAGACACAGCTGACACTTGAGCAGGCTTCTCTCCAAACTGTTCCTCAACCACAACTGGAGGTTCCTCAACCACAACTGCTGGGAGACAGCAGAAAACTGCTCATGCTGGAGCCAAAAAAAAAAAACAAAAACAAAAACTTCAAATTGTTGAAAATATCCCAAAAAGTCTTTACAGCTGTGGACTCCTGGTCAGCTGCCTTACCGAGTCCAGATGCAGCTCTGCAGTGTGGAACAGCTCCACTTGCTCAGATTAACTGTAGATGTGCAAGTATCTTGATTGCCCTGAAAGGCTTTTATTGCATACAATATCTCTCCAGTTTCCAAAACAAGTATAATTTTCTTTGAAATGTAACCTCGGCTAACAATACCACACGCTTCTACGTGATAGTTCTGCAGCCCAACATGAGCTCAAGACACAAAAAATTTGCGATTTCATGGAGTTTCTTGGAAGAAATTCTAATTAGGGAATGAATATATTGGTGCGTGTGAGAAGGAATTGCCATAAAAGATCAAGCGAAGGGAAATGGTTTCTGATGTTAGAGCACTGAAAGTTCTGCATGATGTCTACAACGCTGCTCTGAGAATGAAGGGACACACAAGCCAAATGACAGCTGCTCTGAGACGTCCTCTTCTGACCAGGATGATCCAAAAGAACAAGGATATCACTTCGACATGGAAATTCACACTGTGCCAAATACATCCAACTAATGGATCTTTAGGACAGGTTGCTTATTCTGCTACAGTGCAGAGGGAAGGGAAGGTACTTGAAAAACACAGTTAATACATCCTGAAGGCGTTTACATGCTTAGAAGCACGGGCCTTTCTTTTTATCACAGCCTTTAAAAATTACACACTATTTTTTAAACGCACACTTGGAGAGATTACCAGTAGAGCTTAAATGATGCAGCCTTATTCCACTTGATTTTCAAACGAGTTTTGTCTTCTTGCTTCACATAGGTGTTTCTGAAAACTAGGTCAGGCTTATGATGTATATTTTAAGTTCTGCAACACTTATAGGAGAGAATGAAATATCTTAGTGCATCATTTGACTGAAAACAACTTCACGACGCATGCTGAGAATATCCAAAACTACTATGTCAAAGTCTTTGGAAAGAAAAGTGTGTCTGCTTGACATTGTAAGATGCTTGCATATTACTAAGTTGTTGATCACATACTTAAAGGAGGGGACTGCCTTTTTATATTTATGCATTGCCATTTTCTCTTCTCCCTCTTGCGACAGTTTGACACGACAGGGAACTTATCAAAACATTAACAGCTCCCGGCCTCACCCAAAATTCAAGCAATGAAAAAGCATCAACTATAACTAAAATTAATTATTTAAGAAAAATGCTTTGTTTGTGAAGGGATGAAAATACAACTGGAAGCACTGGAAGGTTTTTTGAGCGAGGAAAACAAGAAATTAGAGACAGCGTTGACATCTCTATGTTGCTGTTCTAAGAACCAGATAATAGCTTCTCAAATATTATGGCTGTGAGGAGGAGAACCAGGAGCCATTTTTCCTTTAAGTAGAGCACTCCTAAATATATGAGTTTAAGGAGCCAAATGTGAATAGAAGTGTGGTCTCCGTTCTTCACATCTGAAGCTGAACAGCCTTTTTACTGCGAAACACACAGTGCTGTTGGTCTCGACGTTGAAAGCTTTTCTCTGCAGCAATTCACACCAAATCTTGGCCACTGGAGTGAAGGGGCTACATCTTTCAGCCTCTGCCTTTATGAACTAATTATCTCATATTTCAACACTGTCAAATATCACATTCTGGATTAATATAACCTGACATTTCATGGCCCTCCTCTGCAGTTAAAGATACCCTGACCAAAACATCAGCAAACATTAGGAAACCCAGGCAATCTTCTAGAAGGGAGGAAACTGTGAACGTAACAGATCCCTATGACCACTAACACTGTCACCAAGTCAGCTCCTATTTGAAGACGTCACTTTCTGAACTCAGAGAAGCTTTTAGCATCAGTGACATTTTGGAGCAATGATGTCCATCACTTAAATAGTGCTTCATGCAAGGTACTTTTTGGTTTGAACGTGGCCCAGCTGGGATCACTTGCTGCCCTCCAAGCTCTTGTATTAGAAAACAGTCATTTTCTCTTCACTGATTTCAGTGCACTCATAATGTTACAGACTTTTCATGCACATTTGTCATATTTTTTCCAGGAAAAGTCCTAGAGAAAGTCCTAATCTAATCCTTCTTCCTATCAAAACCCCTGACACCTTTGACCTTCTCCATTACCTTTGGGTATCCTAATTCTTTCCAAATCCTAGTTCTACCATATCCTTTCCCGTATTCTTTCTGAGATGGGTGTCCCAGGACTGCAGAGAGTAATGAAGAAGAAAAAAAAACAGGAATTTATCTTTGATATAATCAAGGGCTCGTTTTCACTCCATCTCTGTTAGTAATTTCTTAATTTCTAATGTTGCATTTACCTTCCTTTTTTTTTTTTTTTTTTTTTTTGACTGAGGAGGATTGAATTTATATTTCAAAATTATTGTAATTTGAAGAACTTGCCCTGGAGCAATGGTCACTTCACAGTTCAGTCCCTACCACTGCCTTTACACTTTAAAATTTTCTTTTTCCTTTTATATTTATATACCCTGATTACGTCTTGTCCACCCACTCAGTGTTTCACATTTCTTCAGCAGTTTTCCCAAAGGTGGCCTTCATCATTATGACCACAAATAGCTCCAAGCTTGTAACCTCGCTATTCCTCCCCTTTCCCAAACATTTATCAATATACTGAAATGCACAACTGAGGAGGCTCCACAATTGAGAGGCTCCAGCACTGATATCCCTCTACCATTGACTATTTTCACTTTCTAATCCTGTTTCCTCAGTTCCTTACACTGAGACAAATATTTTCTATTCAAACTGAGGTGCTAAGAACCACCTGGAGGTCAGGAGATGAAAGAAGTAGGTCACAGCCACAACATGATGTTCACTGGAAAACCATCTCCTAAGCCAAGCTGAGATGTAAACACACAAGAGCAGGCTCCACAAAGAGCTATTTTCTCTTCTTTGCCCCAGTGAGAAGCAGTAGGACTGACCTTGATGTGTCTGTTCATAGCAGTAGACTGTGCAGCCCGAACTAAACCTTCCAGTTCAGCACCACTGAAGTTTTTAGTCTCAACTGCCAGTTCTGCAATGTCCACATCTTCAGCCAGCAGCTGGTGTTCTCGCATCCGCACCGTGTGGATATGAAGAATTTGAAATCGACCCTTCTCGTCTGGCAAACCTGAGGTTTTGAACAGAAGATGGGTCAACCAGTGCCCCAGCACTGCAACCGCAGCACAGGCTTCCCCTCTGCCCGCTCCCAAAGGCTGTTTCTCTGCACACTAATTAGCATCATCCTCAAACTAGAGAAAGAAACAATACAAGGTTTAACTTCCTCAGGGTTCACAAATCAAGGTACTGAGGGCTAAGACTTGCTTCCTCCATGATGCTCCCGCGCCCAGTAGGTTGTTTGCAGATAGCCAGACCAGGAAACCTTTTTTAAGGTTTAAATGATAATTTCCCAGCTTGTACTTTATCAAGTCCCTTTGAAAAGCATATAGTGGAAGAGAAAGGAAATCCTTCTGTTTAAAGAATGGACATCACGTCAGTCTGGTCCAACACCCTTTTGGCTCATCACTTTCTAACTTATGTTCACATCCTTTATTACAAGGATCTGTTGAATTTGTTCTAAAAAAGACTTGCCTTACCTGTCATGTTTTTAATTAACTTATTTTCAACTAAAGGTGCAGGTATCACACCTGCAGTAGTGTAACATTCCCCTGGGCTAGCAGCAATGCTGCCACCAGGCAGTTGTTTTCAAGTGTAAGATTGTTCAGGTTGGTCATCACAATTACACTTCTTGATCCCTAAAACACACTTCCCTTCCGAGTGTTTCCTTCAATTCCTTGAGGCTGGGTTAGTTTGGGAAGACTGTGTCTGGCTAATTTTTGTCAATGCTAGCCCTTTCTCATTACTGTCTGTCTGTCTGACCACTATTATTTCTCTAGGCATAGTTACACACTTATTTACTCAACTTTCTTTTCTGGAAGAGGCGCAAGGCTCTTCTTGCATTATTCCTTTATCTAAAAGAATGTCTTAATTCCATAGTCTCCTGCATATTTGAAACTGTTCCTGTTGTCTGTGCTCTACATGTTTTTAAGTCACAGCTAGTGCTTCAGTTGCATCTCTTGTCCCCCCATTTTCCACGAGCTACATGTACACAGTACAGCCTAATATAAACAGCTTCCTATAATACTTGCCAGTAGCTTTAACACCATCAGCTTTCACTGCCTGGGTTATCTCTGTGGCTGCCCCAGCAGTCATCAGCCTCGCTTCCTCATTCCTGGTTTTGCCCCAAATCTTCCCTTTTCAGCTATCTCAAAAACTCTTTCCTCCTTCTGGCTGTTTGAAAGAGTAAAGCTACCCTTTAATGATAGGAAAAAGTCCCCAGTGAGCTCTCGAGATTAAACCAAGAGATCAGATTTCAAGAATTTCCTAACAGTTCAGACCAGCACAGACAATTATAATCTCTTCTGCCTTTCTCTGCAGTATAACACCATATGATTTTTAGGGTTATCTGGACATTTTCATCTATTTCTCTGTAATTGAAATGACAAGGATGTTAACGATGCTCTTAGCCTTGACTGCTCTTTTCACAGAGTTCATTACAGTTGGAAATCTTGTAGATTTGCACTATTCAGTGCCTGGCTCAGAGCACAGGGAACACTTTGGGACGTGTGTGTGCGCATGTGCACGTGTGTGCGTGCAGCATTAGAGGAAAATCCTTTACAGGCTCTGCTAAACTAAACATCTGCACCTGCAGGCATGAATCTAATTTGATCTGGGCCTAATTTCTTACTAAATTCCACATTATCAGATATTCTATTATTAGATACAGGAATGGTGCCAGGCAGATATGTGCAATTACAAAAACCCTTCTCAAATGCTACTGAAGAACGTTCATCTTTTCCAGCTCACTAGCGTAACTGGCTAGAGGGCTCTCTGGGCTGCTTTTTGAACCAGTGATGCACGTCACCCAGACGCACCGATTTCAGAAGATCTAGAGTATTTATTTAGCAGTTGCAGTTACTGAAGTGAAAAATCACATAATGCAAATAAAACGATCTGCATTTTCCACAAAACATCATAGGGGGAGCTGCATAAAGTTCAGCAGCTTGCTGTTCTGGTTTATGGTTCACACTAGGATAGATGTCTGCTCAGCTGTTTTAACTACCTGTGAGTTTAACATATTGAGAAATGTTAGACTTCTTACCAATCTCCATCTTCACTTCCAGTCTCCCTGGTCTCAACAGAGCTTCATCAATTAAGTCAGGTCTATTGGTCATTCCTAATATAAAGTTGAAACCAAAATAAGCATTAGTCAAGTGTACAAACTAGGTCTCCAGCTCCCAAATACAGCCCATAAATTTAAGAAGAGGCTCAGAGAGTCTCAGTAGAAGTCAGAGAACAGATGGCATCTCCAGAAACCCACGCACTAAAGCAGAGTCCCAGAAACAGGGATCAAAACAGGGTCTGCACACGGGGACTTCCATGGCTTGAAGAGCCTTGACTGTGGCAGAGATCACAGCAGATTCTCTTCTTCTTCAAGTCCTACCTATTAGTAACAGTGAGGGCAAGAGGACCAGAGTCACACGCTCCACATGACAGAGAGAGCAAAGCTGAGGCCATGCAGAGGAAGGCTGCGGTAGATAATCACACTGGGAGCATTTAATAGAGCAGCCACTGTCAGAGGGAATCATGAGATGCCAGGTATTACAGCAACAGTTACATTAGTAGGGAGATACATAAGCACACAGCGCAGCACTGAGCCCAGAGAATAAACTGGGTCTGACACGTGCCAAATTTGAGCAGTGTGAGCCTAATGACCATTTACAGACGACCTGCAGTGAGCAAAGCATCGCTGCCTTTCCACCAGAGCCCATAAGAAGACAAACAGGACCACGGTACCAATGACTAGGATGTTATTGAGCTGCTCCACTCCGTCAATCTTCGACAGCAGCTGGTTTACAACAGTATCGTGGACGCCGGTGCTGCCCGCCATGCTCCCTCTCTGCTTGCAGATTGCATCGATCTCATCAAAAATGATGATATGAACACCACTGTTTGCACCGAGCTGGGGGGGGAGAAAAACATGTCAGGAACGCCACAAGCCATCCCTGAGGACATCCCAAACAAAGCAACAGCTTCTCAACATGATCAGCCGAGGAGATGCAAAACATTGGCCTCTCAGTGTGCTTTTAATATCACATGCTCTGTAGCAGATCCCCTTCCAGAATCATGAGACATCCTTCTCCAAAACTTGGTGGGCTTTGTCCAAAGATAGGACCTTACATGTGGCACTGATACGAGAAGCAGAGGCCCAAGGGAGAGGACTAGACTGAACAACAGCTCAGTCCCCAGCTTGGAGCCCAGCTGGTGGGTCGGAGGTCTTGGCACCTTGAAAAGCCCTTTGAAAGGGAGACAAAGAACAGAACATCTCTGTGCAGAGATGCACCCAGTGCAAGACACATCCCAAACGCCAACACAAAGCTGGCCAGGGAGCTTTGTTCAGCGCGTTTCCGAGGAGCCCGTCGGGAACAGAACTGCTCACTTCCAGGTTCACTCAGAGGTGAAGCACTCACAGCTGGTTAGAGAACAGGGCACTTTTTGTGACCACGTCTAGGTATTCCAAAGCTCTTCCCTTCGCATTGCCCTTCTGAAATGTCTCCTGCGGGCAGCGGGGCCGGCGGTGTCGCAGGGCGCAGGCGCCGGCCCTGGCAGCCCCCCAGCCAGCAGGCAGCACAAGAGCAACCTTTGCAGGACCTTTCTAATCTCCCCAGGTGTCAGCAGGCCCGTCCCCTCCAGCCAACACGAGGGCTATGTTACCAGGTGTGTTATTGCAAAGGAAAAGGAGCTCCCACGCTGCGGCTACACGGCAACGAGCAGAGGGAAGGAGGTTGTTCAGATCTCTATGGGCTCCCATGCGAAGCCAACTTACTGATTAACAAGTCTTTTGTAGAAGAAAATTAAGCAATATCAAGCCACTATCAAAATCTGCCATGTTGCTGGGACTGGCTCAAATTAAGGGACACAATGTTCTTTGCTACTGCCTTCCAAAAAGGCCTCATTGCTTTTAACTGCGCCCTATTGAAACTCGCTTTTTTTTTTTAAAAAAAAAAAAAAAAAACAGAAAACTGTATCAAAATTAAGTGATCTACAGCAGAAAAAAAAATACCATGGCACATATGAAAACGATTATTTTCAAACTATAGCTGACTATCCAAAGCCCAATCTTCAGTATGGGGAAAAAAAAATTGGTAAAAGCAGAGTCTTTGTTTCCACTTCCATTTTTGAAAATTCGTATTCTGTAGCTTCACGACAACACTGAATTGTCTTAAACTCATTCATTTTCTGCTAGTTTTCATTAGTTTTCTGCTGAGGAAAAAAATAGCAATGTACTGCTTAGAATAATCAATGTAGTATAAATATAATTGGGTGCTTTATTATATTGGCACTATCATTTTGCAAGTCAAAAACTTGAAGCCAGAAAGCTTATGCTTTCACTTGTGCAATGTTAGTTACCCCCTGAACTCAGCAGTAAAAAGCCAAGTAGATTCACAGGTTCCGAACTCCCAAGAGGCCCAAAACGTTTCGCATCCTCCTTCCAACACCCTTCCGAGCGGCCGATGCGCTGTATAATACAACACAGCCCCAAAGCCAGTCACCACATACAGCAGCAGCTCGAGGTGAGGAATGAGGAAAAAAACCTTCATTGTCTGTCTAGGAGGGGCCCCACCACAGTACTTTAAAATAATGCAAAATAAAGCAAACTGCCCATCTTCAGCACAGTGTTTCTTCCCACCCTGGGCTTAAAGCTAACCTACCACTAGCTGTCATTACAGGATAACTTTTTCAGTTTCCAAGCTTGTTTTTTTATTTTATTTTTCAAACTGGCATTGTGTTAAACTGTAGAACACTAACATCCATCAACTTGCACCAAGTAACTACCATCACAAGCTGAGCAGTGCCTCCGTTTTTTTTTAATGGAAGCAGGAATTTCCTAATTATGAACTTCCTTTCTGTTCATTCTTGACGCACACTCTTGCTGCCCGTGCTCTCTGCCTGTGTTTGCATTACCCTTCTCTGCTCCTCTTCTGCATCAGCAAAGAGCTTGCGGATGTTGGCCTCGGACTCGCCCACGTATTTGTTGAGGATTTCGGGCCCGTTGACCACCTTGGGCTCCCTGGCATTCAGCATCTTGCCGATCTGCCTGGCCATGAGCGTCTTCCCGCAGCCTGGGGGGCCGTACAGCAGGATACCCTTCACGTGCTTGCAGCCTAGAACAAGGGAAAACAAGCTCAGAAAGCAGCCTAACACAGCAAAGAGCAAGCGAGAAAAGATGGAATTGCTCTTTAAAAAAGGTTGGCTTTTATCAGGGAACTTGCAGAGATTTGTATTAGCCTCAGCTCTGTTCAATGTCTTCATCAGGGAAATGTGGAGTCTCCTTCTCTGGAGATCTTCAAAACCCACTTGGACGCAGTCCTGTGCCACGTGCTCTAGGTGACCCTGCGTGTGCAGGGGGTTGGACTAGATGATCTCTAGAGGTCCCTTCCAACCCTAAGCATTCTATGATTCTGTGATTCTATGAAATACAACCCCAGATTTGTCAGATTGCACCAACATCAACGCAACATCTGCAAGCGCCAGCCAAGGCCTGCGGACACTCCGAATGTCAAAGACATACTAGCAATTTAGGACGAGCATGTGCTAAACCTGGGTTATTCTTCCTCTTCTCCTAGAGGGCCAGGCAGCACATCTGAAGGTAGATTTCCTTCCTCAGAGGGTTTCAGCTGAGTTGTACTTTTGGGTTGATAAGGAAAGAAAGTAGCAGATCCTCAGAGCTGCTCCCTGCATGTGAACTCACAGGGCAGGGCTAGATAAACCACACTGACTTCCGCTTCAAAAAGTGAGGGACACCAGGTAATACTGCCCAACCTTTACTCCTGCCTTCAGCAAGTCCCACATGGAAGACATCCTGTTCTAATCCCAAGATTTTAGGAAAAATATTTGGAAAATTGGAAAAGCTGCATAAGAAACATCATAACTATCACAGGCCTAGAAAGCTTGACCTGTCACTAGGTAGAATTGAAAACTCAAATTTATTCAATAAAATTACTTTAATCACCACGTATGAGCACTAATATCAAAATCCTCTCCTCTAGGAAAACAGCAGAGCCAGTGGACGCAACCTAATGCTGGAGATGTTCAGGTCTATGAGGCTTAAATGTCCTAAGCTTACACGCAACTGCTGAAGGGTTCCAAAGTGAAAATAGGGAAGACTTTCCTGGAGGATTCATGCAATTTTGGATACACATCTTATGAGTCCCAGATGTGTTTTATCAACTGCCTAAAAGTTCTTGTGCCCAAATATTTCATGCTCTGCCTTAGACTGGGCTGGTAGGTAGGGAGGTGGTGGTACAAGAATGATGATGAAATTGGTTTTAGTCATTTAATATCAACATTTAGCCAAACAAAAAAATAACTGCATCAGAACAAAACCTTTTTCCGGGGAAAGTCCAAAGGGGCTGGTGTTACAAAAACCAGAAACAGTAGAGCAAAGACTATCAGCACCACGTTTTAAAACCTGAACACCAGACTTGCAGAAAGGCTCAAATATGAAGAAGCTCCAAGAGCAGAAAGAGAGGGGGATTTTACAGCAGAAGCATCTAACTAGAAAGACAGGCAAGAAAAATACAAGTAAGATGGAGAAGAAGAGAGACGCGATCAATATACCACCCTATTGGTAGGACGGTGACACGTCGAAGACGGATTCAGTAGGAGAGCAAGTTTGGATATTGTCTGGTCGCAGAGTGGTAAAGTGGAAAAGAGAAATAACTTATTATTTTCTAGATCCTTATATTACCAACAGATCTCCTTTCTCTATTTTCCAGCGATTTTGGAGACCAAAACACAAAATTATGGAATGGTAAAGTGGAATAGAGAAATAACTTATTTTTTTCTAGACCCTTATATTACCAATAGATCTCCTTTCTCTATTTTCCAGTTGATTTTGGAGACCAAAACACAAAATTATGAGCAAATGTGCCTATGTTCCACACTCAGGACTCAGCAGTTATTTTGGTAATTTATTTCTTCCTACATGTTTTCAAGCACAGTAAGACATATTACTCCTCACTCTCTTCCCCTTGCCCACAGAAAAGCAAGACGTGCAGACAGCAAAATACTGAGCCTATAAAGGCACAAGACCAGGGCTCTTAAACCTGTTTTCTCTCCTCCTCCCTCCTGCTGCACAAGATCTAGACATACGTAGAGCAGAAAGCCAGTGAGGAACACAAAAGCCTTCACCTTCCAATTTAGTTATGTCTCAAGAAGAACTGGATCCATCTACAACCTTAAAAATCTCCTGATATTAGTTGAGAGGGAAAAAAAACACTACATATTAGTGGAAATAGTTCCATGAAGTAGACAACATTCACATTGTTTACATTAAGAGATTACACTCCTGCTGACTGACTTTTTTAAGCACATAGAGCACTCAACAAGAGCCCTGCAGTGCTCAAGAGATGCATTAACAGCAGCAAAATGAAGCCCTCTGTGATGGTCCCGAGCTCAGGCTCGCAGGACCCGAGCTTGCTTCCTGGCACCCAAGTTTAACAAGCTTGGGCACATCTAGTTATCCATCTGTCACCTGGAAAAAAATATGTTAAAAGAAACTTCTGAGGTCCAGCTTGTCTGAATCACCCTGCAAGTCCTTCCCCTTTTGGGTGCCTCACTAGCACCAGTCCTCACTGCTGCAGAGAGGCAAGATCTGCATTTAGGGAACATGGACTTTTCTCCTGTATGCCCTTAGCTGTGATTTCACTTCATTCCCAACCCCAGATAATGGAGAATTCAGTCGGAATGAACGTGGAGTACAAACAATTTTCTATGATCTGCATGAGCTGCTCTCCCGTTCTCAGGTGACTCATGATGGATTGAAATGAAGTTTCAGGAGAACAACACGACGAGGAGCTTCTGACCCCTACCAGAACCTGCGCACTGCATCGGGTAAGCAGGGCGATAAAGCTGTTTCTGGGCTCCTCTGCAAAGTCCTACTACAAAAATAAAATTAAAAAACCACACAGAAAAGAGGTAGTTTAGAAGAATTCATTAGTCAACTTTCAGGTATTCGGGAGTCAAAACCATGAACCAAATATACTGTCTAATTTCACACACGAACGAACGGGGTAGAGATAAATTAAAAGCCGTTCCTGTCAAATCAATGTCACGAGAGCCCTTGTTAAGGCGCTGCGGGGAGGAACACGATCGCCTCTGTAGCCCGACAGCACAAGGGAGGATTTGGATGATGAGTGATGCTGCGAGGGGAAATCCCGAGCACAGGAACGCGCCGGGGCTCAGACAGCTCCTCCGCGCTCTGACAAGGCGACCGGCACGTCGGGACACGTCCACAGCCAGGCCTGGGAGCAGCCCCAAACAGGCAGGGAGGCTGTACTGCACAACTTCAGCTTCTTCCTCTAACATCCTTTCCACAGGAAAGGAAAGGACATAACCATAGGGAATGGCCTAATCTCTTTTTCTTCCTAGTTTTCCTACAACTAAAAGTTCTCTTCTAGAAGGAGTTATAACCTAGTTATACCTGCCAGAAGTTTCTTTCTACAGCCCAAAGCATGTGAGCTTCTTGAAAAGCTCCAATGTTCCCCTCGTCCCTCGTGTGAATAAATAGAGCCTTAACAAAGCCCTAGCACATAGCCCCTGAAGTCTCAGCTCAGCCTTTGCACAGATTTGTTTAAAAAGCCTCGCAGGATTTTCCCTTCTCTGTACTCAAACCTACCATGAGAAAGTGTCGTATCTTACCGTGGTAAGCCAAAAGAGAGGATAAAAGATGAGCTGCTGAAAGGACAGAGGTTGTTGCAAGAAGAGCAAGAAGAAAAGGAGTTGGACAAAGCTACCTGCTGCTCCAGCTTCCTGTGGCCAAGGTCCTGGCGCTTTACTAGGCCATTAGCTCCTCATCCCACTAGAGGGAAAGATCAACGGCAGGACACAGCAGGGCCACAGCCCAGAAACAACCTGCCCTCAACTACCACCTGCCACAAAGACAAGGTCAGGCCACGCCGGGGCAGGTCACGGTTACTCCTCAGCAAGAAAGAGAGTGCACACAGGGTCCCCAACACCTCAACATCAAGGACGTTACAAACCATCTGCCCTAAGACTTGGTCCAGTCTGAACTCACGCTGAACAGGGACAGCGTTCGGTGGGAGCCGAGCCCCAGGTGAAAAAGACGTTCTCAGAAGCAAAGCCACTGGTTCCTCTTAGAATAAACCTCCAGTCGAGATTTCCTTCACCTGGCTAAATAAGTTTTAAGCACAAGCAGGACTTCATTAATAGACAGGTGATGACAAACTACAAATGTTATGTGTCGAATCTCAGCAGGACCCTCCGCCCACACAGGAATTTTGATTAAGTTTATCTCCACTTTGCCGATTCCACCAATACGGCCAAATGTCAATACGATTAGGAGGCTGTTCCAAACGCCAGTGATGAGCGGTGCAGACATCTCTAACCCAAATCAAAGGTCATTCCTGTAATGGGATACTTAATTATACAATTTAATGACATACGGTTAGAGGCTGAACGGGTACATTAACAGGAACTGCCAAACCTGTAATGGAAGGAGTTCTGCACAAAATAGTAGGGGAAAAAAATCACGAAAACTGTTAAGATTGGGCTAAATACTACTGTCTTTAAAAGTCAAACACTTTTAAACCCAAAGACAAAAATAAGGTTTATTTGTTCACTTCTCACTACTCGCCTCTTTGAAAGATCAGAAGGAATGTTTTAGTGTAACAGGGATTTTCTACTTGAGAGGAGAATTCCCCTTTTTATTAAAAATCAAAGCATTTTGGTGTGATTGCATCATTCAGATGCACCTATCGGGAATCTACATTGATAGTAAAGTCCCAGTCCTGAATACACTAGGGAGAGATGCTGATCTTTGCACATTAAACTTCAAGCAGGTTTGAATAAGAGTAGAGTTTCTGGACCTCGCCTGCCACACACCTAAGATTTTCCATTAAGAGAGTTGGGTGGAATTTTCCCTCCTCTTAATCCATAAACTCCCCATTCTTCCAGCTGAGATCGCTGTCTCCAGTTTGACTTTTGCATAGGATTTACTTCTGTTTTTAATCCACAGCTGGGACGAGCAAAGGGCTACACTCTGAAAATAACTTTTCATTTTAATTGGACCTTTGTCAGCCAACTGTTGGAGGCAACAAATCATGTCCTATTCCAGAGACAGAGCAACAAAGTCAACTTCCTTCTAGACCTTGGAAATTGTCTCCCAGCTTTCTCATCAAGTCATATAGAAATGCAAAAAAAAAATGCATGCATGTGTAATGAAGCAATAATTACATCTATGGAAATAGTGGGATATTTATCAGTTGCTGATAGAACTTGATAAAAAATGAAAATACATCAACTCTAAAAAAAGCTCCCAAAACAATGCCTTTGGCTACGCAAACAAAATCATGACTACCGGAAAAGGGACTGCAGCAAGAATACACACCAAAGTGATCTCTAAAAGAAGCCATCACTGAAGCAAAATAAGAGCTAACGCCTTTCCCTCTTAATGGAGGAGTTACATAAATACAGGTAATTTAAGATGAAGACTCTGCAGAATCCTTGGACGGGCTGCAGAACACGGCAGCTGATGTTTACAGTCATCTCCCACCTGGGTGTTAATAGCCATAAATCTTCTCGGCATCCTCCACTTTTTGAAGTAAAGCTGGATCATTCCTATGAACTCGACATGATGCAATTAATGTTTTATGGAATTCTTACCCACAAAGCATTCCAGAGCAAACAAGTGTCGGCACAGCAGGGTCACTGCCCATCCCAGGGCCTGCACTTCCGATGAGAGTAAAGTTAGGGCTGCCAAGGCCTGGCGCTGCCTGCCGGATCAGGAACAGAAGGGAGCAGGAGCAGAGTCCCCGTAGGCCGGGTCTGGTGCCGACGACCGGCCGAGCAGCCTAGAGCGCCCAAACCCAGGACAAGCGCCAGTCAGAAAGGCCTCTCTTCCCCCTCTCCTACCTCACACAGCTCAGGCATCTTGAAAAGCAATTCCTACCTATCGAGTAGCTTCCGAGGGATTTCTCTCCCATGACCATTTCTGGTTTCTCTTTGAACCTTCATATTAACATTCCTGCGCTGAAAGAGCAAATATTTTTCTTTCCTGGACAAGGAGAATTTTGCAGATCTCTCTCACCTCCTTCCCACTTGGCTCTTTCCAAGGGTGAAGATCTTCACATCAATTCACCAAGTAAATCTGCACATCACCAAAGACACCAGCTACGAGCCCGCTGACAGGCAGGACCCAACACATTTGGAAACAATGTTATTTACAAGGCACAGGTTTCTATGTTTGAAGGTAAGAAAGAAGGTATGAAAGAAGGTAAGAAACTGGGATTTAGTCTTGAGAAGGCTGAACAGAAAGATGAACAAAAAAGTACGTAAAAAGCTTTAAAAAAACTTCATTTATCTATAGTATAATCTGCTGCAGGACTGGGAATAAATATTTGGAATATTTTGACAATAAAGATACTTGTAAGCAGTGGCATAAGCTGTTTTGGGAACAGCTTCTTCTGACATTTCTATCACTCAGTATAAAGGGTAGATCTGGCACTGAATTCTCAAAGAAATTAGCCTGGTTTAGGAATGGACTGGATGAGATCCTCTCCAACCCTATTTTTCTCTTATAGCATTCAAGTACTTCAAGACCATTCATATATTAATGTTAAGACAAGTGAATCCTGGACCCCACCTGTGCAGCAAAGACAAGAAAGAAAAAAGATCTGAGCATCTGCCAAGCTGAATATTCAGTTTGCATTTGTGGACTCTTCCCTTTTAGATGACGAGCTGTACTTCAAATGGGCAGAGCCAGGAAGTCAGAGCACAGGTTAAGATGGTCACTGAGAACAGGAAAAAGCCTTCAAAACACCTGATTTAACCATTTATTGACATTAACAGGACAAGGAACATGACTTCCATTTCAGTCTCTCAGCAGATGTGTGATCTGTAATGCCAAACATTTTACTAGCTATTATGAAATTTAAACAAAATTCAAATTTAAACAAGCATGCATCCGTATGAAATCTGCTTTTTTCGAAGGGGATGAAGTGGTAGGAGAGGCTGCAAGACGGGCGAAGTTGACGTACATTAAAATTTGCTTCATTAAAGTAACTGGTGATAGCACAGCCCTAAAAGCTGCCACCTTAACTGGTGTATTAATTCTCTGCAGAACCAGGCAGGCCCAAAGCACCCAGTGGAGGCTGTGCATGAAGGAAAGGAATGGGTAAAGAAGGGGCAATTTGCCCTTTCAAATTTCCCATTACCAGGGCAGTAGGGAGCTCCTGTGAGGTTGCATGACTAACCGAACCCAATCAAAGATTTCTCCTCTTGGATAAACTGTACGCAGAGGCATCCAAGGAGCATTCACATCTTTGGATGATAAGGTTAACTGAAGCTGATTTATATGTTTCAAACCCAGAACATTCCTTGGAAATTAGATAAACCTCACACAAATCGCATGCAATTTCTGAAGGGTCTCTACAGCCTCTGTACAGCTACAGGACAGAAATATTTATTGCGTTTGGCAGGGAAGTTGCAGCCTGTGAGCACGGGGCAAAACCCAGAAGTGGGTGAGCACGAGGAGCACCATTCAGCAGGCACATTCCTTCTTTTCCTTTCCCAATAAATTATGGAGAGGTGAACAGCTGTCACACTGACATTTCAGATCTGAAATATAGTTGAGCAAGTTATAACTAAGGCAAAGAAAATGAATGTCAGAAAGTTTTGTTTTTTCAAATTTCAGATAAGCTTTTTAGCCCTAGGGTTTATCAGAGAGCTAGAAAAATCTGTTTGGAGTCTAACTTCTTACCAGAAAAATGCTTCTTTGTGCAGTATGTGCGTAAACACGCACGAGTGAGGGTATATCTATTTACATAAATAGCAGGGCACACCTTTAATTCATTGCTCAGGGTAATCAAAATACTAGAGGCCCTTCAGGCACTTTTCTCTCCTTGTATTAAGCAATCGCAACCAAGAGAAGGAACCAACCTGAGCACCACGACCTCGTGCACAGCCATCTTGTCTGGCCTGACAGGAGGTCCCTGCTGCTTCAAAAGGTCTGAATATTTCCAATAAAGAGCACTGGTCTGTCTAAACGCCTGCTGCTACTACACGGACATGAAGTAAAAAGGCAGGAGAGTTGGGCACTAATTGGATTTAGGCTACAGATTCCTTCAGTGTTTCTCCCCAAGTGCTTAAATTATTGTAAGAAAAGACGTAATCCACCTCCCCAGGAACGTTTCCTTTGACACCAACTGCACAAGCACCGAGCACAAATATTCTGTGCACAGCCACACACGAACAGGACATATTTTTAAAGAGAAAAATCTGGTTTACAATCAAATTTTTCATGGGTTTATTTCTGGGGAGAGGGCAGGTAGGTAGGCAAAGAAAAACAAACATAAATAATAAAATAAAATAAAAAAATCTCCAGATCCAAAATTCAAATACAAATCCAAGGAGACAGTATTTAGAGAAACAAGACTAGATAGGACATCCCTAGCCATTTTATTTGACAAAATAAGATTGCAGTAGCTGTGTACTGCTTACTAAAAGGTCCTTTTAAAAGTAACATTTATCTGCCTGCCAGCAAAGCGCTGGGACTGTCCTCTTCCAACTTGCATTTACTTTCTGCGCTTCGTACCACAGACCCGTGCTGCCTGCGTATCCTTCTCTAGCATTTCAAACCTGACTAAACACAGATGACACAAGATACTCCATTTATTGGGCTAACACTGTGAAAAAGACATACATGTCTGGTGCAACTGCCAGAATAGATATTACATGCAATGCGAAATCATTAAACTCAGAATTTCGTTTGATTTGTGCAGAGAACCCCCTGCAGATAGGTCAGGAATGGGACCATTAAATCTCATTGCTATGGATAAATGAAGTATTCAAGAGCATAGGAATTGCTTGCCTTCTAAAGGGAAATATTGAGTTAAATCATCTCATCTGCTCAGATCTTCCATTCACAGTGTTGAGCATTCAAGTTCTTCCTCTGCCCCCCTTCTCTAGCCAAGTAACAGGAGCAGGAAAGACATTTGGGGGCTTTGTTAGTCTACTGCATCCCTAGGCAAGTGCAACAGCACAGAGCCATGAGGTCGTTAGCCGATATTAATCTTTCCGGACCAGAAAGTGTCCTGCATCCTGTAACTCGGCTATAGTGCCCTGCATGACACTCACCCATTTGCTCCACAATCTCCGGTGGAAAAACTCGAGAAGCAAAAGCTCGTCGAAAAATGTCCGAGAATTCCTTGTCAAGGCCTCCAATGCCCATTTTCTCAAAATTCCAGTCTGGGTTGATGATCGACTGGCGGTTCTCCTTGGTCTTTGATTTACCTGGGAAGAACAAACAAATAAACATTTTTACCAGCTCTACCAGGGCACTCCCATGTCCATCTAACTCCACATCCAGCTTTAAACACTAGGCAAGCGGATTTGTTCCGAGTGCAATGGTGTACGGAATACTTTTCCTTACAACTTCCCAGCCTCCCACTGCTCCTGTCCAGCAACTTCCAGGGCCAGATGTTGCCCTTGTGTATTCCGATTGTCCCATGCCCATCTCTGTCGTGGCTTTTCCAGATACAAGAGCCCCAATGGTTACTAACCCCATGTGCTCCACACCTGAGCAGCTCTGCTGTTCTCTTCCCAGGCTTCTCCGTCTCCTACACCCTTCCAGAGACAGGCAGAGCAGAACACGCTGCCGTTTGCCTGCACGCTGAATGCAGATGCACAGTTATGCCCTGCTTTGTTCCAAACCCTTTTTTTAAAAAAGAAAAGAATGCAGGATAATCTGAACAGCTGTGCTTCCTAAGCCTTGCGGAGAGGGCTCAGCCTGCTGGGCACGGTGCATAACCAGGATCTCGGCTCTAAACAGCAATCAGGAGTGTTTCCTTCCACGCATCGCTTTATCTACTGAATTTCCTCTGCTATTCTATTTCCAACTCACTTAGCCCCATGAGAGCAAGTTCTGCCACCTCATCACCCAGCCTTTTTTTCCAGTTTATTCAATAGTTATAACGAAAAGCAAAGGCCCGGGTGGAGGCTCATGCTGAACTCCACTGGAACTGATATTTTCTTCTACCCTTCCATCATTCACCCATTCTTGCAGGGACCTTCTCTCTGACACATCTTTGCTGAGTTTCTTTCTAAAGAAACTCTGAAAAGGAGCTTTGACAAAACAGGCAGCCTAGGTCAGCCGCCGTCCTCAAGGTTTCTGAGCCTTGTAATGAACCTCCAGCAGGATCCAGGGCTTCTCTCACAGAAGACCCGCTGACCCTTCCCCGTGTATCATCTTTACACAAATACCCACCAATCCGATTCCTTCCTACAGTTTCTGCCAATTTGTTTGGTACCGATTTCAGGTTTAAAGACTTGTAGCTCCCCAGACCTCTGGCATCTTTTTAAAACTTGACGTTTGCCGCCCTCTGATACCAGAGCAATTTCAAGCAAGCTGATAAATCAGTATTATGGGCTCAGCTATGTCATCCTTCAGTTCCTTTACGAGTCAGGTGAATAAAGGCCAGTCTGACAAACGACCACTGCTCTTTTTGCTACTTATTCCATAACCTCTTCTACAGCTATTTTCAGCTAGGCCAGACCCCCTAAGCACAGGCTTTGTATTTGCTATGCGATAGGGTAATAGTCTCTCTTTCTCTTCTGTCGACAAAGTTTTCATCTTTGAGAGCTCCAAGCTCCCTTTTCATAGGAGCTTAAACAAAATCAATGTGTTTGGGAGGCAGCCGGTAGGAACAATACAGCTGCAACCGCAGCAGAGCCACGCAGTCCCCCCTTAATTAATTTGGGAATTTATAAACAAGCACCAACCTTCATGTTGCTCACACGGACACTTCCAAAGGGCTTTTAGCAAAGCCACTTTGCTGGGCTGCTAGAGAAGCTGGTAATGATATAAAAACACAGAGAGGAAGCCAAGATCCTCAAGCTATTCCTCCATTCTCGCTGAAATTGGGCATTTCATGCTTTCTTAAGCACCCAGGGCTTTACAGGATTATAATAACTGAAGCAAAAGTTCTGCGTAAACTGCATTAGATTGCTCTTAATCTTGGTCTAAAAACATCTCAACTCAGTATTTTAATTCCATGTATAACAAAATAAACAAGGACACGTCTCTATCATATTAGTGACAATGTGGTACTTTGTATAATATGCACCACTTAGTACCATGTAGGGCAGCAGGCGGCATTGATTCACTAATTATTGTGTATTTATTATCGCATGGCTCTGCTGCAGTTCTTAGATCATTATGTTTCCTCTAGAATTTAGCCTATATCCCCCCCTTCTGGCTGAACCTGATCACAATAAAATTCAGATTGCACTCGAACCTTATTCACAGGTTTTAATATATCGTTTTATGCTCAAGAGAAGAAATAGAATTGGCATTATTTTTTAATGATTCCCATTCTTCTTCTACTGAGGAAAATAAAGGCCCTTTATTGAAGGTGCGGCTCAGTGGCACTTGGCTTGACTTTTATCTTCCCTCTCAAAAATCTAATTACTCACAACTTTGCAATTCTCCAGAGACCAACAAAGCACACAAAGCAATTCTGCCTCAGATCAGTAAGGAGATTAAATAAAGTATCAATCTAACAGAAGGAAATTGAGGCATAAGCAACTCTTTGGTCTTGTCTACAGGCAATGAAGTAGAAGCGCAGCGAAGGATTCCTCGTCCCACTCAATTGCCTCTCCTCGAGCACCATTCTTCATACCTAGCCATGCTCGGAGGAGGATCACAGGTCATTACATGGCTTTGAACACTAACCTAGTAAAATATTACAGCTTCCTCTGAGGCAGTAAATTGGATTATGTTAATACCCACCTCAAGCTGTCCTGTCGGAGCGGTAACCATTAAATGGGCTATAATTACCTTCATGCAAACTTCATTTGGTGCTCTTAAAAAAGAGCATCCTAATTAAAGTGCTTAATTACAGTGTCATCTACAAGCCAGACTAACAGCAAATGTGCCTGTTCTGCAGGACAGCCACAGGGGAGCAAAGCCAAGTGCTCTCCCTGCCCACATTGCTGTCCAGGCCCCTTCCACTCATGTTGGGGCCCTGCAGGAACATATGAGAGAGCCCTTTTTATCCTGTACAGCAGTTTTCTACCTAAATGGATGTGCAGAGGATGCATCAGCTATTCCCCAATTTGTTTGGTAGTAAAATCTGCACCTGAAGATTTTGCTGAGGATTTAGAAAGCTCTTATTTACAAACGGGATTGCATTTTGCTAATAACCTCACTGCATGCAAAGTAAATGCAAACACACATAGTAATGGAATGCACTGCACTGAGTTTTGTAACTAGCATCAGCTTGTGAAGGGCAGGACTTTCATAAGATAAGAAAACTGAAGTGCTTTTCACACGCTGCTCTCTAATCCAGCAGGTTTTTAAGGTTCTCCTTAGAGGCATGGTATTAAACATGGCATTCTCACAAGTTTTGCAGTTGTTTTGCAAATTTGACTTACACATTCAGAAAAGTTCTTCTCACCTTCCTATTTCTCTGCTGTTTGAATTAAAGAGGTATTGGCTTGTTACTCTCCCTGGAAATACCGTTCCTTCATGTTCAGGGAGTTAAAACATTCCCACGAGCTGCTGTCTTTAGCTGGAGCAGCGGCCGATGCCTCTCGAAGGCAGGTGTACGAGCGCAGAGCGACCCGGCTCCCTTCCCTGCTCACATAACTCAGCCTCTTTTGGTGAGGCTGACACGTCCTCCTCCTACCTGCTCCCCTTGTATTTTAGATAGACTGTGGTAATAAGCATGGTACTAGGGCCCACAAAATACGTGTACATCAGCCTGGGGCGAAACTTCATACTTGGGTGATACAGTGATGTTTAGAGTGCCCGTAGGCAGAACAGCAGCAATGCTTGCAGGAGGGGTGGTATCTTCTCAGGGCAGCAGCTTCAGACTCCTGAACATCCAGCACCTGCTTCCCACAGGGTTTGCGAAAGGTTCTTAAGAGACCAAGTCCAGTCACCTGCTAGTTTAATCAAATACTTGTGAAAAATTAAGGGATGTCGTTTTCAGTCAACTTGGTCAAATCATGTAACTGGCAAAACAAACTCTGGGGCAGACATGTCCTTGAGACCTGAAAAAGTAGCAAACTTGGGGCTCTCTCTATCACCCCCCTCAGGATATAGCAGCACTTACCGATCAGATTGAGAGAAGAGTTCTCAGCTTTCTCAAAGGCAACTTGACTGTTGCCAAGAATCAAACCAACCTCAATCTGCAAAAGGGAGAGAAACAAACAGTTAAATCCAACTACTAGGCTCAACTTCGGATTCCTCTTTGGATACTTCCATGACACCTCTGAAAGCAAGAAACAGGGGCAAAAGCTCTACAGCAGAAATCATTGGTAAGAAAGTAAAATATCAACAGCTCCTCTAACATTCATTTTGCTAACAATCATATGACACTGAATATACCTTATTATACCTAATAAACCCCTGTTATAATAAGCTGGGCTTTTTTCAAGCTATTTGTTTAGTTCAAAACCAAGCAAGATTCATAAATGGAGATGAAAAAAATGCTTGAAAAAAATGCTTTCTATAGAACAAAAAATCGCAACTGGACATATCTTGAGGACAGAAAGTGCCAAAAGAGAAGGTTTCCAGGAACAAGTGCCCAAAATCCAAATAATATTTATGTATCCAAGTCCCACCTCTGCACTTTAAGCTCCCAGATCTACAAGCATAAGAGACTATTTAACTGAAAATACTGTTCCTTATCTCCTTCAAGGCACAACCAGCAGTTAGATGCAACAAATGCACAGCTTCTGCAAACACAAGTAACCTAAGCTCTTCCTCATAACAACATCTGATCAGTACTCGAGTCTCTGCTGTCCCTCCAGAATGAACATGAATTCCTGGGCCCCACCTTCTGCTTTTTGCTGGCTCCACTCTCTCCTTTGAGGATGCTGGGATCCATAGCTTCCATGTCCTTTACCAGCAGCCCAAAAAGTTTGTCATTAAAACTGAAGACAAGCTGTGAAAATAAGCAGCAAAAAAAGGGGATTTTAACTCATTAAAAAGCCAAAAGGGATTTTGACAAGGCTGATCAGATTTGAAGAGAGGGAAGTCCAAAGACTCTTCTGATTACCACCTAAATTCCATATAGTTTTCCCTGTGAAGGTCTAGTGCACTGAAGACATCCCTGCTATGGCTCATACTTGACTGCAACAGGACAAGAGTAGCCCAACCTTAAATCAAGGTGCAAAATTCAAGGAGCAGCTTCCGTCCATTAAATGTTTTTCTCTCCCCTCCTTTTTCCCTCTGGGTGGATGTTCTGTAACATCTCTTGATGCTTTAAACACTGGTATTAGGCCAGGAGAGCAACTTAGATCAAATGTTTTTGATCTTTTGCATCTTGGTTTAACAGTGATACCTCAAAAATTGTTCTGGAACAGTCAGCAGGGAGAGAGAACAAATACTAACAGGAGGAGGGTCCCACCTTGCAGAGGAAGGCAGTTTGCCCTTGCAGCGCCTTTCCTCCAAAACTGCATTTGCCACTGATTTAAGATTCAGGCATGTTGAAAGCATCCTGAAGGACAGGCCAGTCTAGACATGTGGCAGGCTAGACATTTTCACAGGAGTTCTTAGGGACAGAAACACACCTGTTGCAGAGCTGAAATGCTCAGTTATAGGGACATCAACTTTCAGAAACCTTTGAGTAAAATGTGTCATGCCTAAGTTACAACTGGAGGCAGCAAAGCTGTAATAAATGTGAAGTGTGTACTGCTGCAAACATCAAAGATGCTACTGAAAACTAATTAAAACTGTGTTTATACTCATTCATTACAGAAGGAAGACAAAGTTACTCGTCAAAAGATTTCCAGATGCTGCTCCATTCATATTCAGACAGGCTGAGATGGAGAAATAACCCAGGTTTCTTAAACCTAAGGATTTTCTGCACAAAGATATATTTCTTTAGCTAAGGAAAAGGTAGATTTTAAATCACTCTGCTGATGCTGTCAGTTAATGTCATGAGAGTTCAACTATTCCTAAAGAAATTGTCCACAGAATGAGTAATTTCTGCCTAAAAGCCATCCTCTGCAGCATTAAGTACTGTTCGGTATTTCGTATCATTGCATACAGCAGCATATACATCCATTTTCAAGGCTAAAAAAACCTTTTTTTATGGCTAAAAGAATCTCACCTGCTGTCCTATGGAGAAAGCCTGGCTGTTGAACTGCTGGATAAACTCAGCAGCCATTTTGTCTGTGTCGTAGGGGTTTGAGTCAATGTTCTTCTTCTGCAGAAAATCTATCTCGATCGTCATCGTGCCAATACACTGCTTAGCCTTGTCAAAAGTGTATAAAGAAACTGGAAAAAAAAAGAATAAGCACATTTCAGCACAGCAACATCTTCATACAATCTATTAAATAGGCTATAAGTTTGCCATTACATGTTCTTCCAGTTATATGGGATTTTTCACTTGCCAGATGTTCATGTTCTTAGAATACTTATCCAACACTAAAAAAAATCCATCGAATAAATAGGAACATCTACTACCTGAAAAACATGATTATGTGAATTAAATAGACTTAATTTTTTCAAATCTATTGTTTCTGACAGAGACTCTCATTTCTTTTTCATGGTACAGCAGAAAATGGTATAAAATACAACAAAAGTATCTCTACTGAAAATGCTGCATTTCTTTAAAACCTCATTAATGCTCCCAAAACAGTTTCAACACCACAGGAGTTTGGAGATGAGAACAAGGAGGATCCACATATTATAGCTACACCGACAGCCTAAACTGGATTTGGAGGGCACATCTTCAGAAGGCCCAAGGGAAAGCATTAAGAGGAATCCCCGCTTCCCCAACGCAGAAAAAGGCATCAACTACCCCTGTGGCACCAGGAACCAGCCCACACCATGGAAGGGCACTGAGGGCCGGCTCCCTGCATCTCAGCACCTTGCCAGCGAGGCAGAATCAAGAAAGGGGCAGGAGGCAACGTGGAGCTGAGGGTACCCAGTGTGCTCAACCCCTACGGCGCTCAGGGGATGTCATGCCAAGAGCAGGGGGGCACTCGGGGCTGTTGGAGCTGGAGAAAAGAGGGTACAAAGGAGAACGTGCTTCACATCTGCAGGACAGCTGACTGGCAGGACAGGATTGCACATAGCAGAGACAATCGGCAGCTCCAGACAAGCACAGAAGCAGACATTTCGCCAGGACACCAAGATATCTTGCAGGTTTGCCTTGAATCTAGAGAAAAAAAAAGATTTCTCTGATGCAGAAGTCACTGCTAAAGATGAGGTGGTAGGAGGAGAACAAGGGAAATGCACTTCCCCCAGAGCCTGCTGTTTGCTGTCAACTCTCCTGGCAGTGAAATGGCTCCGAGTAAACTTGCAAACTCCTGGGAAGATGCTAAGTTGATAAAAGCATCCACTGAAAAGAAGCATCAGCCATGAGAGCAGATCAATTCAGATAAGGGGAAGGAAGAGAGCCCATCACTTCCCTCAGATGATACTGGAAGACATCTAGGTCATTACAGCACACAGATTTAAAGTCCTAGTATAAGAACGGGCTGCTTAGAAATGAGCAGTTATAGAAAGAAATCAGGATGAACAAGAAACAGCACCAATTCCTTAACTGAGGCACATTTACTTGTTCTTTGGAAATGTGATGTGGCACCAGGCGTAACATATTAGCGAGAGCTGTAACAGAACTCCTCCATACCTTACAGCTCACTTCAGAGCACTTATTTTACTTTGTTTTCCTAATCTCAGGGCTTTGCCAAAAAGAAGCATCTGGAAAGAGCACCAGCCCCTGCACACCCCAGAACGTGAGGATTCAACAAGTGCCCGTTACGTCCAGGCGCAGTGACGGAGATCCTCGTGCAGAGGTGGGTAATAACCGCGTGGTCTGGGGGTGCCCAGGATGCGCCACAGAGCAGCAGCTTCGGAAGCCTCCGAAGCCCTGGAAAGCAAGAGGCAGAGCCGGGGGCAGAGCCGGGGGCAGCAGGGCCTGGCACCACCTGCACCACAGCAGCCCATAAAGCTGGGCCGTCCTGAAGGGCAGGAGGACAACAGCACCTGGGAGCCTCAGCCCCAAAGCCCCTTCCACAGAGTTCAGAGTTTGACTCACCTGCAAAGCCTTAAGCGTTTGGGGCCTGACAGAATTCAGCTTCACTGTACCATTAAGAATTGCACTTTAAGCTGACATTCCTCTAATAACATGAAAACTATGTTTTGAATAAGACAGAAAAAAAAGAGTCTTGAAGGAGTCTTGGTAAGTCACCAATTTTATGGATATTTCTCTCTACCTGTAGCATAGCTTTACTAAGTCTTTCTACTCCCAAGGGAGTCATATGATGTTTAGTCACTCTGCAGGAAATTGCTCCATTTGCTTTTTTCATACACATTCCCCCACACTTGCTAAGTTTGCAGTAGGGTGTAGTACAAGTGTCACCAGAAATCTGCTCTGACAACTGCATATTACCGTTTATTTTCAAATAAAAAAAAAATTACAAAACAGAGATCTGTAAACTAGCTGCCCCACACAGACCTTCCTGCAATGGCAGCTGCTGTCAGCAGTTTGGTCAACCCTCCAAAAGCTGCAGACAGAGCAAAGAGCAGCTCCTACAGCTGCGAGCGATCCCAGTCTTTTGTAATCCACACATAAATATGGTAGAGAGGCCGAGTGAAAAAACAAACTAAAACGAAAAATGGAAGACATAGCACGCAGGACGAGAGATGCCAGTTACCTTCCCTCTTTGAACCCTGGCGAAAGTCCCATTAAAACTTAAACTTTGGAATAGGAATCTTCAACTCATGCAAGCTTCAGATGGCAACGCTTCCGCTGCACTGAAATCCTTCATCTCTGGTGAGGACCCTCACACAGGGTCCCCCATCACAAGACCATCTGCCCCTTGATGGGGTAAGATCACATTCAAAAGCAGGGAGGTGGCACAGCAGGAAGCTACAGACTTCAGCTTTCCTGTGGATGATCTGCCCAGGAGATGAGAATGTGACACTACGAGACATCAAGACAAGGATGGATCATGCACTAAGCAGACCCAAAACCAGAGGATGAAGAAATGCCCTTAAGAGCACATGTCTATGGCACTCATCCGTGCACAGCACGTGCAAATGTAACCTGCATGAGGGGACAGCCACTTTTTAGAAGCCCCACTGCAATCTGCAGCTGAATTTTTTTAAATATTCTCACACACTAACTTATGTTTCTTATCCTGTGAAGTGTTATGATGAATTTTAACCTCGCCTGGAAAGCAGTTTCATTACTGAGGCACCTGAACATACAAGAACTACACGCAGAGGCTTCAATTCTGCAGTCTTCTGGATATGCTGCAGAAAACACACAGTGTAAGTGCCAACCTCAGCCTGGAGTAGCAGCAAATACTCCCACCTCCCATGATCTGGGAGAGTTCAGGTTAAAGAAAGAGGACAGCATAAGAGATAACAAAGCAACATGTGCAAACAGCAGCGTGTGACTCTTCCTGTGAGGAATCTGCCCTTTGCTGGGGTGACTTCCCGGGCAGGCAGGAGGGCTTTCCCCCACCGCGGGACGCGCTCCTGTACTGCAAGTGCAGCACGGTGAGTGTCTGAGCAGCATCTGGGCAGATCACATGCACATGGTGACAGTCTGGAGGCATTTTCTTAAACTTTACTCAGTGAAAACATCAGAGCTATTCACACAGCTCATCACTCCTGCAGCACAGAGCGGATTGTTGGCTTTTAACATCCTTTAGTATTAAAAGCGTCCCATTATCAATAATCAAAGTTTAGATGCCAGGAAAATCTGTCAGTTTTTGCTACAATGGCAGTTTTCTGTTGGGTGTTCCCCAAAACCACAAGGAAGGAGCACTTGGGATACATGGGAAGTGTCTGCATCTGCACATGAACACTGACCTTCCCTACAGAGCTGCTATATTGATGCATTCCAAAGATAACAGTCAAAATACCTCCCCTCAATCCTGTCAATGCTAAAGAACAGGATGCCTTCAGACATGAGAGCAACTGCCTTTAACTAATGAGGGTCCTACAGAACCCAAGGAAGGGCTGAAGATCTTGGGTTTTCCGTTCTGGTTCCACTTCCATCTGGAAACATAGGAACTGGCTTTCAGCGACACGTCACGATCACGCTGCTGACTTACCTTCTATCTCCTGTCCAATGGAAAGTCCAGCCCATTTTCGCTGCAAAACAAAGACAACTGTTTCACCAGCCTGTTCTGCAGGAGCTGCAGGGCCTACTCGAGAGGCAACAGCCTCCTTTAGAAAACCAGGCCCCTCCAGCAGGGGCTGGGCAGAATGAGGCCTTACAAAATGCCACAAATCCAAAGATGCCCAACTTGCTCAAAGCATCATCATGACAATTTGTGTTCAGCATTCAATAATTCTGTAATCAATTTTGGGATGACAGGCCGCATCCAACACAAAAAAAAGGGGTTACGTTCACTAAAGCAGACCTGACATTGGTGTTGCTGACCAGCCTGCCATGTCTGTGGCAGACACAGCCAAACTGGACGTTTTAGGGCCATTCTGCTCATTTCTCCATCAAGCCCAGGGGTGGATCACGTAAGATGTGGTGCAACAGGCAGGAAAAGCTGCTCTCCATGACCATTTTAACAGTTTACAAGTAAAAAACGATTGCAGGAATTTGTTACAATGTGAACAATCCCCCAGATTGTGAACAAATGTTCACAATGTGAACAAATCCCCCAGAGAACTAGCAGGAATTCTTTAAATCCCTCCTTTCACATTTATTCTTAAAAAAAGTCTTGTGCAGCACAAAACCACAAGAGAAAAATATTGAATCATTTTCAAATCTATGTGCCATGAAAAGTCTATAACTTTTTTTAGGTCAAAAACTCTGGCTTGATTACTGGTCTCCTTCTAATGCTTCTTGTGCTACAGAATGGCTATGATCTGTTTACAGTCCACATTTCAGGCTCGTCAAAATTCATGGTCTCTTCCTCACTCTGTACTAAAAAAATAAGACCTCCTATTTGGAAATGGCATTTGAAAATCATCATAAAATAAGTGTAATAGCCAAGTGTTCCCTCTCCTAAAATAACTGCAATACACAAAAATGTTTCTTCATGCTGACACTGGTCATGTTATTTGCTTGACAGCTTCATTCTGTGTTTCATTCATTAGATTATAACTCTTTCTCTCATTCTTATTTCAAAAATAGAGTAATGGCAAAAGCATGTAACATTCACAGGAACAAGAAACAGCATTTATTAAGAAAAAATGTAGCTTGTAAGAATGAGAGGCAAGAATGAGAAATTATTAGGATCACTATACAGCAGTCTAGTCATATCCCATTTGAAATATTGTACTTTATGGCCATTTATGTTTGGGTTTTTATGCTTCCATATTTCATCCCATGCTCCACAGCTTCCATCGCCTACCTGCAAGTCTAAGAATTTCCTCTCTCCCTTGACACTAACTCCTCAGTAAAACCTACCACAAACCCTCATCTGAAGTGCCAGGTACTGATGAGCACCCGTGCAAGGGCAGTGCCAGGACACAGGTACTCCTGCAAGCACTGGGACGTGCCGGGCTTTGCTCAGACCCTCCAGTTTAAGACTATCACCAGATTCCAGGACAAGAAGGAAAGCAGCCCAAGTTCAGCTAGAAAAAATCCCTAGGATTCTCTCTGGGTCAGGAGATGTAGCTCTTTTCCTTTTCTGCTCATTTCTACACTTTCTGCTACGAAGTTCGCCATCACTGCACCACCCTTGGTCTTTCATCCTCTGCAGCATATGAACATCTTTGGGTCTTTAAGGCTAAGAGTAAAATTCTCATAGAATGATGGTAGTAAAGAATTTAATATACATAAGCAAGGTAAAATAGAAGTTCTCAGCACTAGGTCTTAGTTTTTGCAAACTGTCTCTACGTGACTATCCACAATTACATGAGATGGGGGTTAATATAAATGTATATATATTTTGTGTAATTTCAGATGTGGTCATCAAAGACTTCAGGAAATACTGGAAATCTAAATCCCAGCATCAGGAATACTCAGTATTTATCCACCACCAAGTGTAGAACTAACAGTCACTTTTTAAGGATAAGCAAATTATCTCAATTCTTAGCAAAAGTCTTTTCTAGAGCTACAATAACTACTGCAATCTACAAAAAAGAAATCAATCCTAGATAATTAATTCACCTACTTTCAACGTGTGATACAAATATCTTACACAGGTAACAGCTTTTCACTTCTAGTGTCATAAATGCTAACTGGACATATGGCAACGTTCTAGTCACCCACTCATCCGGACAAATCTGAATGGAACATCATGTCAAAAGGCAAAACGTGGGTTTGGGGCCTAGGCTAAGTTTGGCAGCACGGAGACTCGGCTTCCCGAGCGGCTACCAGCAGGGAACCGGGAAAGCGACCACAACTGCTGCTGCTGCTGCACATCACACTACTGAGTCTGTCAGGCAGAGGCTACGTGTTACCAGATTCACTTCTCTGCAACTGCATCAATTACTTATTCCAACCATCATTTAAAATGAAGTAACTTGAGTCCATAAATTAAGAAAGAGGAGACAACTTAAACCGATTTTATGCATTTCATTGCACTTTTCAGCTGGAAATACAAGCAATGACTGCACACAATCAATAACATTTCCTGCACCTCTTTGAAAGAGCAGCACAGGAAAGAAACCCCTTAAAGTCGAGGGAAAAAAATAGGTCGATAACAATTCACAGAAAAACAGATATTGCTCAGGCTTTATTTTTTTAAGAGTTTGTTGCTTATGTTTACTTTAAAGGTTAATTTAAATCTTTTTTAGTATATTTAAGCTCAGAAAGATCAAAAGAATAAAATAAAGTTTGCTTCAGCTATGCTACATGTCTCCATGAACTTCTGATGTCAAAGTCAAGTTTGCAGAATATTTTAAAGAGGCCCATTAGGACAGTTATTGTCAATACTGATCTCCAAAGGCATTTTGGATTATTCCACAGCAAAACGGTAACTCGAACTGCACAGTACCTGGGGCAAGCTGAACGCGATGCTGCCAGGGACAACCGAGGGATGGGTTCTCAGCGTAAAGATGTATTTGTGGTTGGGAGAAGTCTTCACAACAACATGTCTAGAAGAGAAAATAGCGCTTTAGTTCAAAACACCCCTAGAAGGATTTCAGGTTGTTCCCAGAGCTATGAGAACTCAAGAGGAACAAGTCAGTTTACACTCTGGCGTTATAATGGAGAAAAAAAAAAAAAAGGTTTTAAATCTACATCATGATTCAGGAGTCCAGCGATGGATTCCTGATGATACAGTGATGAAACATTATCTCAAAGCTCAGCCACAAACATTTTACTAATACTCATTGTTTAAAATCACCACCTTTATCTCAGGAATGACCATAAAAACTCGACCAAACCAACCATAACCACAAAGATCAAGGTTTCCAGATCTTAGATGAACACCAGTGTTACCTCTCAAGCTGCTAATACCAAGGCAAGAAGGTTTTACCAAAATCCAAGTGCTTTACAGCATTTGAGATTTTAATATCAGACGCAAAGCCTACCAAAGGATCAAAGTATGTTGTGAGAAATTTGATCATAGATGACAAAAATGAATGAATTTCTGAACAAGAAGATCACATATGGTCTGAGGCCAACCTTTCTGTTTGCTCGTGGTAGATGGACCCTGTTGAACTCACACACAGGACCATAAGAGAGGGATCACTACAACCAAACCAGAGCAAAGCCAACAATCAGAAGCTGCAGCAACAGCCACTCCGTGTGCCTGCTTGTCACTCCCCAGAACTACGCTGGAAGGAACAGCCAGACCCAAATGCTGCTCAAATTTGTCTCAAGACTAGGCAGGATAATTCCCAGCACGTGACAGACTGACTCCCGGTTGGCTTCAGAAAGCAACATGAAAGCAAGCTGGGAAGAGTGTCCGCCAGAGACAGCCGTGATGGAAGAGTCACATTTGACATCACCGTGTTCTTTGCTTTAACTACCCCACTGACCTGTGTGGCCACCAGTTCATGTGATCTTTAACTACCCATATGATCCATGAGGAAGCAATGTGCCCTAGTGGCCAAGAAGGCCAATGGGCTCCTGGCTGCACGAGGAGGAGCATTGCCAGCAGGGCGAGGGAGGGGATCCTGCCCCTCTGCTCAGCCCTGGGGAGGCACCTGGAGCACTGGGGGTAGCTCTGGGCTCCCCAGGACAAGAGGGACGTGGAGCTTCTAGAGAGGGGCCAGCGCAGGGCCATGAAGATGATGAAGGGACTGGAGCATCTATCGAGTGAGGAAAGACTGAGTGAGCAGGACCTGTTTAGTCTAGAGAAGAGAAGGCTGAAGGGGATCTGATCAACACCAAGTACCTGAGGGGAGAACGCAGGGAGGATGGGGCCAGGCTCTTCTCTGTGGTGGTCAGTGACAGGATGAGGGGTAACGGGTGTAAGCTGAAACCCAGGCAGTTCCACCTCCATATGAGGAAGAATTTCTTTCCTGCGAGGGTGGCAGAGCCCTGGAACAGGCTGGCCAGAGAGGCTGTTGAGGCTCCTTCTCTGGAGACCTTCCAAACCCACCTGGATGCCACCCTGTGCCCCGTGCTCTAGGTGTCCCTGCTGGAGCAGGGGGTTGGACTGGATGATCCCTAGGGGTCCCTGCTGACCTCAACCCTCTGTAACTCTGTGGTCTACGTGGTCCCCAACCGACCCTGCCCTGCGCCCCCTCCCAGCTGAGCTGCCCCTGCTCCACTGCGGGGAGAGCCGAGGAGAGGGGGCGCATTGCTCAGAGTCCATCTGCTGCATACACACACACACAACACCGGGTGGATTTAAGAGTTTTAACAACATGGTCGAAAGAACATATGGCCCTCTGAGACTAGAGGAGACGTGTGGCTGGCATGAGCACAAAGACTAGACATCACCCGCTCACCCAAACACACAGCAAAGCAAGGGAACACATCACTTCAAACACATCACACAGATATATGTCTTCTATATATATGGGTAGGAGATTTGATTCTTTGCTTGTTCTGGCCTTATATCATCCATGAGCTGCTTACAAATATAGTGGTGTGCAGCCCTCCTTTTCCATGTCCTGCTCCAGAGGTAAATCCAGAAACCTATCCTAGGTGCGCTGGCTCCCTATACACATAACATGAGGAAAGCAAAGCAGCTAATGGAAAGTTCCTGGTGAGCAGAGGAGGATCCTGAGGACTGGAAGAAAGCAAAGGTCATTCCTGTCTTCAAGAAGGGCAAGAGGACGATCCAGAAAAGCTGCTCAGCCTCCCTGGCATTCCCCAGGAACGTGATGGAGCAAATAATCCTGGAAGCCATTTCCAAATATGTTTAGGACAAGAAGGTGATCAGGAGCAGTCAACATGCATACACATAGGGGAAATCATGTCTGCTCAATGTGATGAATCCGGTGAAAGTTGGAGCCAACAGAATGAGCTGAGGGCAGAGCTACAGCACCAAGCCCAGCAGGAGGCCAGACAGCAGTGATGTGCCCAGGTGCCCACAGCAGGGCCAGTGCTGATCAGCCTCTTCTAACAGGACCTGCATGGTGGGACCCAAGGTACCTCAGCAGGTCTGCAGACAACACACAGTTTGGAGGCTGATGCACCCAATGATTGTGCTGCCTTTCAGAAGGACCTCAGGAGGCCAAAGAACAGACAGGAACTTCATGAAGTTCAACACTAAACGCCAAGTGCTCCACCTGGAAACCTCTCCTGGACCTCACTAAGTCCTTCAGCTGGAAAGACATAAAGGCAGCCATGCAGAAAAGGGCCCGGGGGTCCCTGAGGACACCAAGTTGAATACGAGCCAGTGACACGTCCCTGTGGCAAAGGCCAGCGGTGACCAGGGCTGCATTTGGAAGAGCGTGGCCAGCAGCCTGAGCGAGGCAACACTCCCCTCTGCTCAGCCCCGGGCTCCCCGGTACAAGAACACATGGATACGACTCCAGCAAGGGGCCATGGAGCTGAGCGAGGGACTGAAGCTTCTCTCGTATGGGGAGTGTCAGAGAGCGACGAGATTGATGAACATGGAGCAAACAAGGGCCAGAGAGATCTTACCAGGGTGTATAAACACCTGACAAGGACAGAGCCTGGCTCTTCTGAGGGGCATCCAGTAAGAGAAGAGGCCATGGGCACAAATTGCCCATGCACAGGAAATTCCACTTGAACATAGGAAAATGCTGTTTGTCTTTTTTTGTGTTTAAGTGTTTCAAGCACTGTCAGAGCGTTCGAACAGAGGAGTTTCCACTCCCGGAGATATTCCAAACCTGCCTGGACCCCGTTCCAAGCACGCTGCTCGGAACGACGATGCCTTGAGACCGCAGGAGCGCTACATCTCTGGAGGTCCCTTCCCAACTCAGCAATTTCACGATCTGGTAAGGATGGCACCCCAAATCTGTATGCTTAAGATATACTATCTGCCTCTAACCAGAAGGAAAAGCCAGGGCACACCTGAAATCCCACCTCTTTGAGGGTTAGGGCACCTCTGGCAAGCACAGAGACTTAAAAAGTGCCAATTACTTCTCCAAGGAGGCAAGGGATTGGGCCCACCCAAGACTGAATGTTGCTCTAAGGACTATATCATTTTAAATGAACTATTAGATAAAACACAGAAGCTGTTCTGGGATCAGCAACTGGAATGTGAAGGTTTACAGCATAGGCTTAAAATCATATTAACGCACAGTTAACTCAAAAACAAGATATTAAGCTGCTGAGTATTAGGCAAACATGTCTGCAAGCACTATACAACATCTGAATGTGTTACAGAAATACCTCACAGAGAAAAAGACGAAAAATAACACTCCAAAAGCTGCTCATAAAAGAGCAAAAGATTCAACATTAAAATCCCTTTAGACTGCAGTGAGTCCTGACCAGCGCATTGAATCTGGCTCAAAACGTAACAGCGAGTGTAGCTTACATAACCCAGCACCCCTGCAGGAAGCAGAGAGCTCCACTCCTGCCGGGTTTCATCCCAAAAAAGCAAAATGCAGGAAAATGACAGCGTCTGGTAAAAAACTATTATAAAAGGAACAATGTTATCCATGGAGATTTGACACAGAAATTAGCAGTGTTACACTGGAGAGTAGCATTCATCAGAAATACTTCCAGAAGGCCAGAAAGATAACACAGCCCCATAGCAGGCTAAGGGATGCCAGGAGAAGGGGAAAAAAGAAAAATCAGCTTCTGAAAGGAATCTAGAGTTAAACAAGAATAGAAAAGGCCAGATCCTGGCAGATTACTTGAGCAAAATCTGCAAAAGGCAGTAAAAAAAAAATCCCAGCTCTTCTCTCTCACAAAGACAGCAGGAACCAGCAGCATCCTACAGGCTGCAACTACAGTATTAAGAGAAATGTTCAAAACGAAGGCAACTGAAGGAAGGAAAATTGAACTGAAAAATTAAAATTGCACCAATGTTCACCAGGAAGGAGCCTGATGAGTTCATGGAGACACATGGGGAAGTCTCAAGCTCATTAACACTAGCTTCTGCTTATAAATTAATAAAAGGAGCAATGAGTCACCAGGGCCAGATATATCCCAGGAGCCCTGAAGGGTGAAACTGCTGATCTACTAATTCATGTGTAAAGCCTTGCCGAAAACTATCAACACCAAAACGAAGCATGATGCCAATTTTTAAAAATAGCCCCAGGCCAGACTCAGGACACCAGTGACTGCTTAATTCTGCTGATCAGGTTGAGCAAAGCAGCAGAAGCTGTAAGAGATAACAGGGACCTGTTACAATTTTTATGTTAGTGAAGAGAAAAGCATTTTGTAAGGGAGAAGATACCCTACATATCTGTGTAAAGGTCCCTATGAGCATTTGGGTAATACAGGCAGATATTCATACAAAAGACAGGAATTGTCAATCAGTTCCCAGCAGAAAGACGGCTGCTCAGACATCCTACCCTGCTCTCCTCCCCAACCCGTCCCCTGCACTCTGTCTGCTTTTAGGCACATTTCTCCTTCCAAATTATTTTGGAGCCCTCAGGGTAGAAATATGCACAGGAACTGAAGATCTTAACACTTAAATGACCAAGACTGTGTCTACAGTAACGCGCTACATGCCATGAGCTCGGGCATCACAAGATTATGACTCACGCTTGTCCAACTTACGAGATGCAAAACAAAAAAAAATGAAGCACGACAAGATCTACAGCAGCATCTCGGGGACGAGCCACTTCCCTGAGCCAAGGTCAAATTCCCAGCTCCAGGCCCACGAGCACCAAACGGGAGCGTGAAAGCCCTGTCCTTTGTGTAGCTGATCCAAAAAATCTTCCGTGCAGTCAGTCCTGGTGCAGGGGGTAGGAGCTGACCCAGCTGCCTGCGTGCACCTTCCTGCAGCACATCAGCGCGGCGGCCTCGCTCAGGGCATCTGCAATGCAGCAGGATGACGACGGCTTTCGGGAGCCGCTGAATATCGAGATATTTCTCTGTACTCCAGGCTTATAATTTGCAAAGCAATTTATAGCATCTGTTCCCTACCCAACATATGCTGCTTTCTCGGTAAGCCCCAATTTCTAGAAATAGGCAAGGAGGATGGGTGCAGGGAGCGGCACGGGCAGCCTGTTCACAAGGAGGGCGGCGGGCATCACCTCCTGCTCCCTCCAGACAGGCAGGGAGAGGGCTTTCACCCACAGAGGGAAAGGAAAGCAGCTGGTTGCTGCAGCTGTAGGAGCTGGGTCCCTTGGGGGTATTCGTGTTTCAGGCAATTAATACTTGTAGAAAGCACGCGCTAATGGTTTTAGGCAAAACATTTGGTTTGGATGCTTTTAGAAGCCAATAACTTTGACAAAATCCCCCATTAATGGGGGGAAACAAAGAGACCAGAATGCTCACTCTGCCCAAGCAGACACTTCTGCCTCCTCCTGGCTGTTCTGCTGCTGTTTTCCCTGCTGTTTTCACACCAGGTTGTGGAATCCAAGTTCTGCAGGTGGACGGGGCAGTGCAGGAGAGGGCAGGGGGGCACAAAACCAGCCCCCAGCTGCCCCTGCGCCTTCCTCCACCCCTCGCAGACCATTTTCCATCCTTAGCAAAATTCATGGGCTGACCCCAGGCCCTGTGGTTACCATTCAAAGCCATTTTCAGCTTTCTGTTGCATGTGAAATTCTATTGAAACCAATTATTTATGTCGACGGTCTGCACACTGCAGGGTTTTAAAGAGCCACCGTATTACTGCAACAAAGCAAGGAAACTAATCTGGGTTTTTTAGGGTTTTTTTTCTCTCTGTTTTAAAATAAAGTGCGGTTCTGTGTAGCCTCGGCTGAAGATGTGTGTTCTCTATCTTTCTAACAAAAATAAAACCCAGAATCAGCCACTATTAGTCACTGAGAATTGTAATTAATGTATCCAAATTGTTGCTCCCACTTTTCGGTTATTCCCCTGTTGGACTTACACAGAAAAACAAGTTTTCACTGACCTGACAGAGTACTCCAATAGGATGGAGAAGAAAAAAATGGCCCTAGTAACATATTCAAATTTTAAAAATCTATTTGAAACTATTCCATTAGTTTAGCAGGATTCCATTAGTGAAGGATCCGAAGTCTTTCATACAGTTGTTAAAATTCAAAGAATTATTATACTTAGTTAAGCAACTCCAAGTCCTAAGCCAGAAAGGCTTAAAAAAAAAAAAGGAAAGAAAAGAAAAAAATGAAAATCTATCATTTTAAAGTATATCTAGTATATATTTGAGAGAGGCACACCCAATATTTTAAGTCTCTTAAGTTGCAAAACTACAGGAATTTTGTTAATTAACCTACTGTATGCGGTACACAATAACATATACTGTACTGTGCTCTCCAAATCAGAAATTCCATCTCACTTCCACCCAAATTTTGAAGACAATTTGCTCCTTTTAGTTAAAAGCTGGAAGAGCAAGTGCAAATACTCACTGTCCAGACTGGAAGTCCTTCTCATTCACCACAGCACAGTTAGTTAATGACAGTTCATCTGTGGGACATCTTGCTGCTTGCATAGACTAGGAGAGAAAGAGAGAGGGGAGGAATTATTAAATAAAACATGATTTTTCCTTTTGTCTCCAAGTCTTAGAGCTTCTTTCGATCCATAAAACAGAAACAGGGCTCATCAGTGCCTATATACCCTCAGAGCATTATCTACCATCACTGACAAGCTCCTGTCTCCCTTCACGGTTCTAATTGTCACAGATATTTGTATCCAAAAATCTCTGCATTTTTTAAGCCTAGAGTGGGAAAAATACCTAAAAATTACCTGGGGAAGAAAAGTGCAAGGCAGGTGATGCTATCTTGGTGATGGATCCTGATGTTCCCCAGATCCTGATGCTCCTCTGCTGTCAGCAGCCAAAATAACTGAACCCCAACACTCAGCCCAGGCTGCTCCTCTCCCCATGGCAATAGGTCAACACTGACAGAGAGTTTCTAAAAATTGACTCAAAATATATTTTCTCGGGACAGCCCTAAATCCCAGCAACAAGAGGAGGAAAACCCCCGAGCCTCACGCACACATCTAGATGATTTCCATCCTGTTCAATTTTTTTTCTCCTTCTACACCTTCAGGTCATTTGAGAAAAGAATCAGAGAAAATCCTTTTCTTCATAGGTTTAAGCAAGTGTGCTCTACAGCTTTTTATGCACTAACATATTTTTTCCCTAAAAAAAAACTTGCTATTTAGAAAAAGACTAATAGATAATTTTATTGAATGATTGAGTTAATTGTCCTTCCCAAATCTGACAACAGGAAAGGATGCTGTTTTGCAGCCTTGAAACAGCTTCAGCTCTCTGAATCTGAAGTGTAAAATGACAATTAAATATTTTCATCACAAAAAATCATGTATTTTGCAGACGCTTAGTGAAGTCCAACCTGCCTCTTCAGGCTTACTGTCTTTTGGTACTTAATGCAGTAACAAGAAAGCAAAGCATTTGCCACACTAGCACTTCTTTCGCTCGTGACAGGACTGTTTTCCAGAAGAGCACCCCCTGCTAAACGCGTTAGGATATTTCTGGAGAAAATTCGGTACCTGGGACGCGTGGATTAAAGGTTTTTATAGCACCAGTCCTCGAATGCATTTTTAATCCTCGCTGACCAAGCGCTTCCTCCACGTAACACACGCGCCTGGCAAAGGCCGTGTCCCTGCCGGCAGCGTGCGAGCTGCGCTGTGAGCACAGAGATGTGCACAGAAAGCCCCGGGGACGTGCACAGAAAGCCCCGGGGACGTGCACATCCCACACACAGACCTCCAGGACGCAGGGCCAACCCTCCTCCCGGCGCAGGGTCGCACGCCAGGACGTCCTTGCTTCTCGGCACGCGCAGCCACGCGGTCGTTTCTGCAGCGCCATCAGCGCTGACCGCACGAGCCACCCCGTGGGTCCTCAACTCCTGTTCTCTTAACAACACCCAGGCTGCAGAGTACATCTATAACCTACGCTCCCAGCTCTCTGAAAAGGCCTCCCCCAAGCTCCAAGGCCGTTTTTAAAGCCTCTGTACATAAGCACTATACAGAAGTGGTTCTGCACGAACACAGTCGTGCAAAGGAGCTTGTCCTTCGCAGGCAAGCAGGCTTCTGCAAGCGTACAGGGACAATCTGGGAAAATGCAGTTATGTAAAAGATGATATTTCAGGGGGAAAGCACCCAGAGCTGGAGGAACGCTCAGTTCTAGAGAACCGGAGGCGACATGGAGCAGATGGGAACGTTTCCTCATAGCTCCCCTCTCCAACACATCCCCAGCGCTGCTGTCCATGGGATTCGGGCTGGGACGACACACGCGGTGGCTGCTCCCAAATCAGTTTTCTGAAATAACAGCAGCAGCCCGGGGCTGTACCACGAGCCACAGGCCAGGGGACAGCAGTGCCCAGGGGCGCTTCAAGCTCTTGCACTTTGGGGCGCAGCTCAGGACAAGCACAAAACTCTGGAGCCTCCTTCCTCTCTGCCTCCCGACACTCCCATTCCCTTGGGCACCAAACGAAAGGGAGGAGAGGAAGCAAAATCCCCAGGATGTTTCTAGGAAGGTGCCGGGTTCTCGTGCACGAGCTGATTTCGAGCAAGGCAAGGCAGCTCAAGGCTCAGCTCTATCCAGCCTCGGGAGCAGATGGTGCAGCCGATGCAAACGCCACCCGCGCCAGCGCAACCGCTGTCCCCGCTGCTTAACAGGAACCCGGGAACATCCCAGTCACCCCTGTGCCCACCACGGGGACCCGTTAGGCCGAAGAGAGCAAAAGACACCTCTGTCCTCCCGGCAGGGCAAGAAGGGGAGACCACAGACGCGGCAGGAGGTGGCCCCACAGCTCGGGTCGCGCCACGTTCCCGAGGGCTCCCAGCCAAGGGCGCCGCTGTCCCCGACGGCCGCGCGCGCCTCCCCGCAGGGCTCTGCCTCCACCGAGGCTGCTCCGCCACTGCCCGTTCACGGGAGAAAACCGGGAGCCCAGGGCGCAGCGAGAGCTCCACTGCCGCGGGACGGAGGTGCCAGGGCAGGAACGCGGCTCCGCGGCCGTGCTGGGGGTGAGCAGGAAAACCCGACGGCAGGAGGCTCAGCCACACTGCTGGCTTTTACTTTTACAGAGCCTTTTCCAGCTACCCCAAAGAACAAACAGCCTCATGATGGAAATAAACGCCCTAACGGCCCATCTTTCAGGCATTTCAGAGCGTGTGCAATCTAATTTTCCTCTCCTGAAAAATGAAACGGTGCTGGCCTTCTGTTTTGGAAGATCTCAGCCTCTTCAGCACAGAGACCGTGCTAAGTTAGTCAGGTATTTTCATACATACATAGGAATGAAACTTCTGGATTTCAAGACAAGCATCCTAAGCATCAGCAAAGCACTGCTGCTCTAACACGACTGCGGAGAGAACGAACAATAAAATCTCTGCAATATTCCACCTACGAGAAGCGTGAGCACACAGCACAAAAAAATCCTTAATATTTGTGATGAAGGTTGATGATAGAAGCAGCTCAAGGAGAACGTTTGCTGCTACTCAGACTCCCCAGGAGGTTGTGTTGGTGGCACAAAATAGAAATGTGCTACTACCTGTCAGTTGTTGCTGAATAAAAGAGCTAAAATACTAAATGCTCAGGAAAGATGCTCTTCATTTGACACAGGAAGGCTTAACTCATTTAATTTCCTAATGCCACCCAAGAGATTAGGAAACAGCTTTTAAAGCAGAGGCAGGTTTTGCTCTCTGCATTCTTTCTTGTACAGGACAAATACTGTTAAAGCATTATATAGCTAAAATTTTCCCTTATGTAATACACGTGCATATGTAAATACACGCTCCTAAAGATATATGCATGCATTTTATAATCTCTGCTGTGCAGGTTTTGGCAGATGACTTGTGCAGAAACAGGACAATGACTCAGAGTTTTAGAAACTGAAGTTTCTTGCAAACCCCACTGTTAGATGCACAGAGGAGGGATCAACATCTCGAAAGACCCCCAAGCTCTGCCCTACAGCTCCAGGCACCAAAACACCTTGGAGTGTTCAGTGCAGAGAACAGGGCAGCAAAGAACCGCGGAGCAGTTGTTACAGGGAAGGTTAGGCTGTATTTCCTAGGGATGCAGCAGATGTGCAGCTGCCTCGTGTCACCCTTGGTAGCGCAGGGGACACAGGCAAAGAGCTTACAAACCAGATGCTCATTCACCACTAGAAGTCTGCAAATAAAAGTCAGATTTTAAAAACAGGAAGAAATACACCATAGAGGAGAGCTGAAGAATAACAGAGAACCGAAACGATGCTGTGCAGACCCTGCAACAGTATTCTGTTTCCTGCTGGAAAACAGACATGCCTGAAGCCTTGCCCGCTACAGGTTGTCCTAAAAGACCCAATGGGTCAAGCACAAAGAATTGGAAGAAAAGAGAACAGAGATGAGCATCAGAACTGCAGCTGCCTGCGGCACAAGAACCACCAGCACCCAGAAAGACGAGACGAAGCAGAGCAGGGTCAGCGACAGCCTGGGAGGAGATAAATCAGCCCAGGAAAAGCCCGGGGAGGATTACGCCGGCTCTCCTAAAATACACACACGTACCACGAAGCTGAAGAGTGCAGAGGGGAAAAAGGGCAAGGGGAAGGGGCGAGCAGAAAGGAGAGGAGCCCGGTAAGAGCAGCGCTGCCAGCGCCGCGTTCCGAGCGGCTGGGAAGGGCTTCCCAAGGGAGGCAGCCAGGGCGGCAACAGCCTCTCCAGTGGGCAGACACAGACCAGAATTCCCAGATGGTGATCAAGGTTATGAAAGAGATGGTGCATGGTGCCCACAGCAGGTGCACAGACAGCAACAGCAGATATCCTAACTCTGTGCTTCTTAAAATATATTTCTGGTAAATCTTGAAGAGCTCTGCATGCTGCTTGCACAAGAAGAGACAAACAACTTTTCAGAAAATGCAGGTTTGGCAAAACAGGTTTCCCCTTCAAATCTCTAATCAAAGGCTCGCTGGGCACAGCAGGCTGAGCACCGTCCCCAGGACAAGCCACCTGGGCGCCTGCTCAGGACCCTCCTTTCCATCTGCTCCCCTTGACCTAGACACTCTTACCCCAATTTGGAAGTAGCTGCGTGCTCTGTACATAACCAGATCATAAACAACTGTTTCTTCCATCTAAAGGGGAATGTTTGCCTTGGGAAAGTGAAAAACATCAGGCTTCATATTCCTGTCTTGGCTTAGCAAGAACTTTGGAGCGAGCTGCCGCCAGGAGAGCCCCAACACGGAGCGCAGAGGAGCCGCTCCTCTCCCTCCCCATGCCCGACGGGAAGCTCCATCGGGATCCCCAGCTCCTCCCGCTTCCTAGAGCGACCAGGAGCACCAAGGCACCGCTCCCACCCTAGCAAGCGAAAGCCGCTTTATTAGGACAGAATTATCCACCTTAGCTATCAGAGAATATGTTTTTTTTCAGGGTGGTGGCTGCTGCTTACACTGTCTGCAAAGGTCTCAGCCCCAGGAATTCAGTTCTGGGATAAGAGCTCTGCAACTTCCATGTTTTTTCACCCCGAACAGTTCAAAAGGAGCATGTCAGTTTGGGGAT